AGATCGAGCAAGACGATCAAGACGCAGAGTATCAGGAATTCCTTGCTTGGAAAGCTTGGAAAGCGTCGAAAGTACCTTCTTCTTCTAAGAAGGATTTCTAAATGGGGAGACCGGACCGGTGTTGGAAACCCCTAGTACATCTATCGGACTCATTGTATCTTCTGTAGGCGATTCGAATTCTATGCGCATTCCTATTTCGATCGAATCCTGCAAGTCCGATAAAACCGCCGAAGCAGCAGCCCTAATTGATTTGGGCGCTGCTGGAACATTCATTGACTGGAAATACGTACGAAAGAACAATTTCTCAACTCACAATCTCTCTTCACAAATCGAAGTCTGGAACGTGGATGGAACGAAGAACAAAGCAGGAACCATTAATAAAGCCTGCAATCTATTCTTCTCAGCAGGTGGCTGAACTATGTTCGCTACCTTCCTCATTACCTCTTTAGGAGGAGAAGACATCATCCTCAGACTTCCCTGGCTCAAAAATGAAAACCCAACAATAGACTGGGCCAAAAGCGAAATCTCGCTAGAAGAAGACCCAATCATGATTCAAACCCTTATCTCAGATAGAAGCAAACATGCTTCTATGCAACCTAGAATAGAAGAAATCGAAGACGAAGAAGCATATAAACCCTCGGAAGATATTCCCGAGGAACAACCGGAACTTCTACCCGAAGAAGAAGAAGAAGATCAAGAAGAAATAATAGAAGAACTACAAGATGACGAAGTTCTTATCGCTTACGTTAAAGGAGAAGCATTCGTGGGAATGTACGAGAAAATTGATTTCAACTCACCACTTACACAAGAACACATCCCCACGACCTTCTCTTTCGTGTCTTGAACAAACAGAATCTCTAAAGTCCCCAACTCCGCTCGATTCATGTTCTCCCCTCTCCCTGTACGAAAGGCTGCTAATGTCGCTCAACAACTGGCACAAGAAGCATACGCAAAAGAAAAGCCAAAGACGTTTGAAGAACTTGTACCCGAAGTCTTCCACATGTACAAAGACGTCTTCGACAAAGCAGCCATGGATACTTTACCCCCGTCTCAACCTTTCGACCACAAGATAAAACTGAAACCAGACTTTGAACCATGCTCTTGCAAAATCTATCCTTTATCTGCACCAGAGGAGAAAGCAATGAACGAATTCGTGGACGAACATCTGGCAAAAGGAACTATCGTACCATCTCAATCTCCACAAGCGTCTCCTTTCTTCTTCATAGGAAAGAAAGACGGATCTCTTCGACCATGCCAGGACTATAGAAGACTCAACGATGCAACTGTGAAAGATGCTTATCCCCTACCCCGTATTCCCGATCTCATCGACAAACTAAAAGGCGCAACAATCTTCATGAAAATGGATGTATGCGCGGGATACAATAATGTTCGAATCCATGGACCAGATAGATGGAAAGCCGCATTCAAAACGTCAAGAGGACTCTTCGAACCAACAGTTATGTTCTTCGGTCTATGCAATGCCCCTGCAACGTTCCAAGCAATGATGAACGACATCTTCTCCAACATGATAGACGAAGGATGGATGGTCATTTATATGGACGACATCTTAATCTTCTCCAAAGACCTCGAATCCCATCATGAACGAACAATGTGAGTACTACAACGACTTCGTGATCATCAACTCTCTCTCAAACCTGAAAAATGTGTCTTTGACACCACCGAAGTTGAATATCTTGGTCTCCTCATCCGTCCCGGACAAATCTGTATGGACAAAGTCAAACTAGACGGAGTCATCAAATGGGAACAACCAACGACCGTTAAACATGTTCGATCGTTCTTAGGATTCGCCAATTTCTACCGTCGATTCATTGCCGACTATTCTACTATCGCACGACCACTCATCGACCTTACAAAGAAAGACATCATCTTTGATTGGTCGCCAGAATGCGATAAAGCGTTCAATGACCTGAAGAACCGATTCCTCTCTGCTCCTGTACTTTCCATTCCTGACAAAGACGCACCTTTCGCAATTGCTGTTGATGCATCTCTCTATGCTACCGGCAGAGTACTCCTTCAAAAAGACTCCAACGGTGACTGGCATCCTTGTTCCTATCTCTCACAAACCTTTTCCCCGGCAGAACAGAACTATCAAATCTTCGATCGAGAATTATTAGCCATCATACGAGCATTAGAAGCTTGGCGTCATTACCTCGAAGGTTCCCCTTTCCCTGTCCTCGTTATGACGGACCACAAGAACTTGACTTATTTCCGTCAAGCCCAGCAACTTAATCGTCGACAAGCTCGTTGGCTATTATTCCTTTCTCGATTTGACCTTCAACTCCAACATGTACCCAGCAAAGATCTTTCAGTTCCTGATTCCCTCTCCCGTAGACCTGATCATATTCCCATCGACGCAAAAGACAATTCCGATGTCACTGTCCTCCCAGATGGGCTATTCATTTCCCTTATCGATGTTTCCATGCAGGAGAAACTCCGCATCTCATCCTCGGTGGACCCCGTGGTTCAACAGACCATAGACGCCCTTTCCAATCCCACCCTACCCCTCCCTATGAAATCAGCACTCTCTGATTGGACCTTTTCCGATGCTATTCTTACCTTCAAGGGTCGAAACTATGTTCCCCCGGGTCCTTTGCGGAGAGAATTGATCTCGCTGCATCACGACTCCCCGACTGCCGGCTACCCTGGTTGTTTTAAAACTCAAGAAATCCTCTCTCGTGACTACTGGTGGCCAGGTCTTCCCACCTTCATTCGCAAATATGTCGAAGGTTGTGCTGTTTGTCAACAGAATAAGGTCAACACCCACCCTACGAAACCGCCGCTTTGTCCCATTCCCGCCCCTACTTCTTCCCACCCCTTTGCCCAATGCTCCGTTGACCTCATCGTAGACCTTCCCTCATCGAACTGGCTTTCGATTCTATCATGGTCGTGGTAGACCATGGGCTTACTGAAGGGGGTGGTACTCACTGCCTTGCAACAAGACGATCGATGCAGAAGGAGTCGCCGACGTATTTTTCAACCGTGTCTACACACGCTTCGGACTCTATGACAAAATCATCTCTGATAGAGGACCCCAATTTGCAGCTAAGTTCGCACAAGAACTAGGACGACTCCTGGGATATAAGATCGCACTCTCTACCGCATTCCACCCACAACATTGATGGAGAAACAGAACGAGTAAACCAAGAACTAGAAGTGTATCTTCGTATCTTCTGTGCGAATGATCAGACCTCGTGGTCAGAGAAACTTCCCATGGCAGAATTCGTACACAACTCCCGACATCATTCTGCACGAAATGCTTCTCCCTTCTATCTCATGATGGGATATCACCCTCAAGCATTACCATTGGCTACCAGAGAAATCGGACCTCCCAGCCGTCGAAGCAAGAATATCAGAACTCCAGAAGGCTCGAGAAGAAGCCCTATCATCACATGAACTCGCTAGACAGACCATGAGGCAAAGAATCACCCGATCATTCACACCATTCAAGAAAGGCGACAAGGTTTGGCTAGAAGCAAAGAACCTTCATCTCAATTACCCCAATAGGAAATTAGCACCCAAAAGAGAAGGACCCTTTCACTATCTCGGAAGTCCTCGGACCAGTCACATACCGCCTAAAACTTCCGAAGCCAATGGCGTGTTCACCCAGTATTCCACGCAGTGCTTCTAACCCCTTATCGCGAAAATGAAGAACACGGTCCTAATTTCCCGTCGCCACCCCCTGACCTAATTGACGGAGAAGAACACGAGGTAGAAGCCATCCTCGGACATAAAGGAACTCTCTCACGATGACGCTTCCTTGTCAAATGGAAAGGTTACCCATCGGCCGATAATGAATGGTTGTCGGAGTCTGAATTAGCCAACTCCGCTGAAATCTTGAACAGATATAAGCAGGCACATCGACTCATTCCCCTCTCAACTCGAACTATCATCACTAAACCATTCAGACCATGCCCTCTACCGGTGGACATAACTACATCTCCTCCAGCGACGAGGATATAAACCTCGTCATCACGCACAACAGCGCCCCAAACGTTCCTATCCCGAATCTTCGATTCCCCGTCTTCTCTCCCCGTCCTCACTACATGACCTATCAGTCAAAGGAACTCTCCAGAACCTCCTCGTCCTACATCCCCTCTGCCTCCGTCGGGACAATCGTCCCCTTACCAAATATTTAATGAACCTGTCATTCCGACATTCATAGACACTCCAGCTAGTCCCACTACCATCCTGCACTCGTGAGCGTGTTGCAGCTCGTAGACGAGCAGCTCCTTGGAGAGTAGCGACTGACCCCTACCTGTCCGATCTTGAAGATCGTCGACTTCGTCGTAGAATCATGTTGTCGTCCAAACTCTTCAAAAATCCCTATCAAAGACGCCATTGATACCGACCCCGCTCTCAATGCTCTTTACGACCTCTACCGCCTCGGAGATCGTCTCGAGAATACCTTGGAAAGGCACAATGCCGAGTACAGAGAAGACGAACTCTTCTCCCTTGACTATAGTATCCGAGACATCAAGGAAAAGCTTCAACAATTGACGTTGATTCTTATGGAGGAAAGAGGTTTCTTTGAAGCCTTAGATGGGCTTCAGCGGCACTGAGGACGATCGGCGTCATGCTCTTGAATGAAAGTCTGGGACTTTCCACGAAAGAAGGGGGTGATGTTACGGCTGTGTTTACTTACTTCTTTTTCCCTTGATCCACGCTTACTACACATGTCTCTTATCATGCTATATTTAGTTCGGTATTACTCAGACGCCTCATTGCTTACGCATGTGCTTACTGATACATACCTATTATTACGTCATACCCTGTACCCAGTATCCTATATAAACCCTGGCTAGGTGACGCTGATTCTTCAGCTTAACCTACACTGGTTTTCCTCTGAATATCTGACTTGATTCTAAGTTACCTCTTCGGTACTTAGCCTTGACCTGATTTTGGACGTTCTTAAGACTGTTGTCTTGAACGTATCGATAGACCTTTGGTCTTATTGGTTATTGTTTTGCCTGCGTTATACTTCAGCATAACACATTGAGCACAGGGTCATTGTCCCTCTTCAGAACATCTCGAAGCATTGAGAGCTGCCCAAGATATGGTGTGAAAACGACCAGCTTGTCCGTCCCATAGCCTTGCTGGGCGAGATAGCGTACGATCTTCCAAACCATTTCAACTTCATAGGTGTTTTGTTTTGACAACGACGAGGCCCCGTCGCCTCGGTTGGCAATACGAGGGTCGTTATCCTCGGGATGGGTGTGGTCGATGAAGATGAAGTTGTTCTGGATCCCGCGAATGTCATCATGGCCCTGGGTCTTGGCAGCATCGGTGAGGTCGGGGTACGTGAGCTTCCTGATGAACGCTGAAATTTCCGGACGCATACGGTGTTGGGCTGTCAGAGTTTTCATGAGGGAAGCCTCTGAGAACCAGGCGCTCGAATAGTGATCTGTTGAGTTCAAATCCATCGCCCTTTTCAACAGTCAGCTTGTAGTTGTTGACTTTGGGACGCAGCTGCCTGTGAAGAACCAACATCAGCAGGATATCCCAAATATGACCATTGGCTCACGTACTTGTGATCGCCAATGAGAATCATCTGACTGGTACTCTCACCCATCGCAGTGAGGACGTGACTTTCGAGAATCTCACCAGCCTCCTCAACTGAGAAGGACATCAGGTTTCGCCCCACGAATGTCTTGTGCGAACTTGGCTGCTCCAGTCATTGTGCATCCAATGATTCTATTCCCCATGAGGGTTGCGACCATCCCTTCTCTGAATTTGCGTGTCAGTTGATCTTGACATTCATTGTAGTTCTTGCCAAGTGTGCAAATCTCTTCGAGGATGGTTTTGCGTATCTCCGACTTCCATTGCTCCAACATCTTCTGACGAGCATCTGGAGGCATACCCCAGATATCAGCCGCCTGACGTATGTTGGGCTCGTCTTTGAACTGCCCAGCGCCAAATCCTCTGGACCACTGAAAGATGAGTTCTTCAGCGTCGACTGGTTTGCCCTTCTTGCTGACACGAGTCATTCATGAATCATCTTCAGGTACGCGGAATGCATCAAAGAAGTTCGGTTCCTCGAACTCGATGTACATGAGGACGTCCTTGAAGTCAATCTTGGAGGCTATGAACCTGTCCATGGCGTCCTCTAGAGAGTCGCAGTGAAATCCCGATGAATTCTTCAGGTTGTCGATGATAGTCCAATCAGCTTTCGATCGGGTGACATGCTCTTTCTTCCCCGCAACGCCAAGATGGGCGACCTGTGCGTTTGCTCTGCCACCGAGACGGGCAATGTGAGTGTCAGGGATACCGATCTTCATGAGATCTTCCAGGAATTGATCCAGGGCGTGGTTCGTGTAGCAGACTACAAGAATTTTCTGTTCGGTGTGATCGTGGATAGCCTTCGCAAGCAGCGCGCCAATGAATGACTTCCCAGTTCCTGTGGCATGTCAGCAAAATGGATATGCATAGGCGGTCGATATTAACACTACCTGGAGGGCCCTGGATGAGGGAAAGCCTCTGCGTGAGTCCTGCCAGAAGTGATGCCTGCCTGAGACTTATCAAGCACAATACTAAGATGAAGTCCCCAGGAGCTGCTGCAAATCCACAGAGGGATTCATAGCGAGGGGTCGTGTGATCTCAGTCGCAGTCACCGAGGCGCTGCCGATAAGGTTCCCGTCCTTCCAGAACAGGAGCTCCTCTGAAAGCAGAATGAACTGGGTGTTCTGCAGAGCCTTCAAGACCGGATCGAAGGCAAAAATTGCAGTGTCGATCTGGATGAGCCGAATGGGATCGGATGACTGCAGTTGAAGGAGAGTCTTTGCGATGCTAGACTCCCCTTCCAACTGAATTACTGACAACAGGTGGCTTCTGCGCAAGCAGTGCCTCGACACGATGAACCGTCGCGAGACTAAGAATTTGATTTCCCGAAAGTACGCAAACGAGAGACTGATGTTTGAGAATTTTGACACCCACAGGATCTTTCTCGAGGTAATGCTTGCGCTGCTTGTCGGGGACATTCTTCATCGACTTGAAATCGTCTTTGCATTTGAGCTTGATGCCCCACCGAGTCTTTCTATCATCTGTACCACTGTAAACACCCTCGAGTGTGACATCATCAATGATGAGCCCACGATGACGCCCTTTCTTCTTCCCTAAAGCGGGCTGGAGTTCTTCTCTCATCTCATGTAGCATCTCTTCACGCAGCAAGTGGAAGGTGTTATCCAGGTAGTCAGCTGTACGAGTTTCTTCGCCATCAGGATCCTCCAATACACTGCTTGGGCGACTGAAAGGAAGCTGCTGGCAGAGGATCTTGTCTGCAGTTGGAAGAATGGAGATCTCCCTGAAGTCGACAAAATCGTTATCATGCCGACCACCAGGTCCACCGACTGCAGCGGTAGGTGCACCAGAATTGAAGGTGGAAAGAATATCTTCGATGCAGTAGCCAATGTCTTTGACGGTCTGTTGCGATGAATTGAGAAGCCTCGTAAGGGTACTAGGCTTCTTTGCGACATCACGGTATGATGACGTATTCCCCATAGTGAGGGACATGAGGCGAAGGAGGAGCACCGCGAATGCTTCCTGGGCTGGCTCATTGAGCTCACCTTGATCGAATGCTTGGCTGAAGGCACTCCAAAAAATTGGGGGATCAACGATGGCGGTGAGCAAGTGATCCAAGACATCACCGAGGTTCGGTGCTCGGAAGAGATATAACAGAAGCTTGGTTGCAGTGTCATTGAGGAATTGGGAACTGGTATTGTGACGCATGGCAGCCTGAACTGCGTTTGAGCCATGGGAGCTCTCTACGATTTTGTTGATGCAGGTCGCAGGGTCTTGCTGTGTACAAATCACTTCCAATAAGAGAGGGTAGCTTCGTGCATCGGCAGGGACTTTGCCTCTGAGAATGTTGTTGAAACATTTATCAAGCTGGGCTGCTCGATTCATGAGAAGCAAGCTATGTGGCGTGGGTCGTGAGTACTTGAGTACTTGAGTGTTGAGAGCAAAATTGCGGGCGCTCGTGGTTAGGGCCTATATAGGGCCACGCGGGTGCCACGAACCTAGTAGAAGTTACTATGTAGTATGTAACCCTTGTCCGTGACGCCCACATTGTCACAATAAGTCGCCTACGGTACATGGTATCAGTCAATCACATGAGGCAAATGGAAGGGATCTGCTCACCGTCCATTTGGCAACTGGATGTTCAATACATACCGGCGTGACGTACATCCTGTAAAGGATGGCAGTGGCGTGAAATTTTCGTTCAATTAGGAAATGTTGAACTTGGTGAAATTTTGCTCGTCGTACACTCATATTCCCTGTAATTCATTATCATCGTGCCATTTATAACTATTCCTGCCTCAGAAAACACAAGAGCCTGCTAGAGCATGACAGTGACCTTGATTCCAATGGCTCCAACGAGGACAATACTTGAATCAAAGAACTTTCGGAGGAAGAGGAACCTGACTCTGACTCTGACGGAGAAGATAATGAGCCTGAGCAGTCCCAGCCCACGAAGATCCTTACACCACCTTGAGTTTCTTGTAGCTCACATCAGCACGTTCGAGCTCGCAGAAGATTGTCGTGAAATGGACAGATATGAATTGGTTTGTTGCAAGGAGGTGCATGAGTTTGTCCAAAATATAGTCAGGATTCTGCCTTACAAGACGAAGCAGGCAATCAATATCTTCATGATCGAGAGCACGCAGACGACCACACATTGCTGTGCTAGGCTGACGGTTCACGACATCGCTGGTTTGGCGCCAGAGCCTCAAAATCCGAAACCAAGTGCATTCGAAAAATCCGCAGGAATCTAGGATGTCACGAAGGCTCAGAATTCAGTTCCGTTCATGGAGTTGGATTGTTGCAAGTTTCACGTCACGACTGATCTTGTGAAATCCCATGTTGCGAAGATGATAATAAGGGTAGTACAAGGTAGACTCGTAACCAGTCTGGACTACGTCTTTGTTAAGTGCTTGAGGTAGTCAGACTGGTCGATCTCGGAAAAATTTGGCAGGAGCAGCGAGGAGTTTGAAATTTGACAGATGCCAGTGATGCCGATTTAGGTAATTGTTGTATTTTGTACAGCGTTGACACAAGTCCTTCGTTCGCACCTTAAGCAAAGTATTGTACGCCTCTCAAACATCATAGTCCATCAAGCAACAGTACTTAACATCTAATAGGACGATAAAATGATACCTTTTCATGCCTTTCACCAGCCCATGCCGCAATATCAGCCACCTGTTGAGCCTTTGATTTGGATTGTCAATCCTTCGAGCCTCAACATTGATGAAAAAATCCTTGTGGTCCTAAAAATCCTTCGTGGGCTTCGGATGACAGTCATGGACCTCATGTTGCACTCTATCTCGAACAAGACCTCCATGCTACCTTGGAAAGAAGGTTTTTTCGAAGCAAGGCCCTTGTGCAGTTTCTCAATGTGTTGGATGCTGATGATCGAGCGAGGGAGCAACTTCATGTCATTTTACGACCAATCGCTATTGAAATAGTCACCAATGAGGTTGATGCTGAGATGGAGGCTGCTAAGGATATTTTTGGCATGTCATCAAAAGATGTCACCCCCGAACTACTCCTCTCATTTGACCTTGATGCTTTGCTCATGGCACGACTACGAGAAACCACTCCATGGCTATGACACATCTTTTTGTCAGCTATGCAGACAGCATGAGCTGCAAAGGAGAACAAGAAGCAGAACATCAAGATGGTAAGTGTTGTGTGCATTCAGGTGATTGTATGTACTAATGATGAATAATTTATGAACAGTACTGTACCGCAATTGAGTCGCAGATTGTGAACATTCGCTCCCAAAACAATCTTGCCTTCCAGATGATCCATGGATTATGTTTATTTAGTGGTGGTTCATCATGCAAAACCATTGATTTACTTGCATGTTGTGGTCTTTCTCTTGCCTATGACACATTACACAATGCTCATGCTGCCATGGCTGACGGCCAGATTCAGCGTGCATGTCTAGTATCTCGTGGACCACATATGATCGGATGGGATAACATCCAAGTATCCACTTTGATTGATGTTGAACAACATCCCTTAGCTCCACCAAAAGTCCAATCGGGTACCACAACTATTATCTATCCCCTTCGTAACACAACAATGCGAGATGTAGAGCTTCAACCTACACTCGAAAACCGTGCTAAATGCAACCTGATTACATTTGTCAAGGACGTCTGCCCTACACGTTCACAAATGTGTGATATGTCCGAACATATGGTCCTTGACATCATTAAAATTCTAATTGACAATCATCCTGGTTTTGAATATCTCACGAGTTCTCCAGCATTCAAACATCACTCCTACTGACCACCACCTTCACAATCAAAGACTCAAGAGTACGTGTTGAGAACCACAACAAATGACGAGTCCACCACTGATGGCAACATTAAAGTTGCACGGAATGCATACCTAGAGCAGCTCGGGATTGGCCTGCATGATCTTGATAACCAGGCAATTCCTTGCATCAACGATCAATCAACAAACTCCTGAGTTTGTAGTGCCCAGCTTTTGCGTTCAGACGACATCGGCTCGATAAATTGTATGGAGAACTTCCAACTTGCACTTTCCAGAGCCTGTTGCAGCTCAAAGTACAATGTGTCTTGCAGAAAGTGATGATATGAGGCATCTGAGCTGGAACAATTTCAGATATTGTGATCTGTGGGAAAGAAAATTGAGTTGCAAGAAGGCCTCGAGAACTTGCTGGAGTTGTGTCATTGAAAGGGCACTCATAAAGTCCGTCAGGAGATCTTCAATTGCATCTTGAGCAGCAAGCGATAAAGGTTGTACAGAACTCATGGTTGAAACTTAACATAGCATATAGTCTGAGCAAGAGCAGACACATAACTTGTAAGTATTGTAGATGGTGCTCTCAATCTGCCTCATTTCTATATCTTGCAAGAGGAAATAGTCAATCCTCGCCATGTTTGTGGACACCTTGCCCAACCAGTTAGCCAGCCACCAGCTACCGAGAACCGCTACCCACAGATGAAAGTCTGCTGCTGAACACATGTGTGACCAATTGGAGCCCATCCACCCTGTCGTTGATTAGTGTGATCATCAACACTGGACTCGTCGAGCCACAGAAAGCATTCTATTGGTATGTCTCCATATTGAGCCTGCCAAGTTGCCTGAACTAGCTCATCCCTCTCCATAGCCTCCTTTGCTATCTGCTTGTGTGTGAATGCAAGTCTCTGAAGTGCTCATGATATAGTTGCAATCAAAACATCAACATCACAAACATCATGAAGGTGCTGTATCTCATCTAAATATAGACACAGATTGGCTTCAAGTATGGAATAGATGTAGTTCATGTTGTCCAGTTCAAGACTACAAGGCCACACATTCTGATGAACAAATGGATGGTGGTTTGACCAAAGTCGTGATGCAAGCGCAATATATCATAAAACGGTCTGTTCGGAACAACCTGCTCGCTCGGCAATCTCTCGTGCATTCTTTCCTTGCTCATAGTGCCATACTATGATGTGTTCCCTGAGCTGTGGGCTGAGGTGAGGAGCCATGGTGGGACAGGTCACTGATCTGTTCTCCAAATGGACGAGCAAGCCTGACCAAACACGTTTTGCTGTGCGGACGACTGCAGTTTTTTTATGCAAAGCACTGTAACTAATTGTAGCGGTGCGAGTGCCAATCCCCAACTCCGCAAGAAAACACAGACAAGATATGATTTGCAGATATTCGTAACAACAATATAGTATAGGTCATTTATACAGTTCAAGCGGCAGAATTGAGCCCAAGACAAAAAAAAGCCACCAAGAAAGACAATCGCGTGAACCTACTTGACCATAGTATACTCCAACTCGTCCTTGTCAGACACACCAGTAAAAGAACCTTTTTTAGTGGGCGACTGCCCTGTCATCTCATCTGTGGCCTTTCTTTTCCCCTTCCTATCCTTGAGCGAGTCCACAAAAATGGGCTGAGTGTACTTAGTGCAAGGCAGAAGTTGCATGTGTTGCAGCATGATCTGGTATATATGAGAACCATTGACATTGCGGGGGTTGGGGTTGTCTCTACGTGGTTTGATATTCCACCTACAAGACGTCAGAATATCGAACCCTGTTCAAAAGAACCAAGGACTTACAGTTTTAAGATGACCTCTAACTCAACAATCATACCCTCTTTGAGTTTGGTCTTGTAGTCACTGACGTGAATGTGAACACTGTGCTCATCTCGGTCGTCGGGGCTCTGAACCCTTGTGCCATGTAGATCATATGTGTTCAACAAGGCAGAGTATTGACCCCTTGAATCTTTGAGGTCACAAATGTGCCAGGAAGAACCTGCTAGTATTTGCATGGTCAGGATGTCATAGCTCAAAACATAAAACATAAAACATAAAACATAAAACATACTATTAGACTTCTTGCCTTCGTTATTGTCAAGGACCTGACTGAATTTTTTGGCATTCGCCCTTGCCTTGCCTACAATCACGAGAGCAGGTTACAATTGTGCCAAAGCAGAAATAATGACGGACTCACTTGGACTCATCAGACCCGCGCATTCTGTTTCGAGATTTTACATCAGTTGGATGGGGTATAGTAGTTGAATTCGACTTACTAATAGCCTCAGCACGAGACATTTGGGGAGTCATTGCTGTTTTCAGATCTGGTACATCTTTGAATGCAGCGCCAGCCATGACAACAAGGCTGTACTTATCATCTTCCTTGTAGGTGCGCCAAAATGGCACGTTCAGAGGGATTGTGCCTGCATCCAACACTGTATTAGCGAATTGATGAATTTGTGTGCAAGCGAAGGATGTAGTAAACAACTCACATGCATTGTGGGCTTCCTCGGCCTCCGAATGTAGAGCGTAGAGAAGCGTCATTGCAAACTGGGAGCACCCTATCACCAAGACAGGGCAGTTCTTCTCTTTGTCGTCCAAAGGAAGGACCTCAAACTGGATTTTTGCGTTTGTGATATCAGCGAGATCAAGCTGTATGACATATGGTTTGTAAGAGGTCTTTATTAGCAGCTGGATGACGGAAACTTACACCTGTTTCTGGGAGATTGAAGTACTCTCCAGACTTATTGTAACGGCCCTCGAGGTGCAACTTGACCAGAAACATGAGGCGGAGCACATTGCCATCAGGACCAACCCAATAGTTTGCACCATCATTGAAAACAGAGTGAAGAGGATGGGGGTTATTGTTAATAGGGATGTTCACTAACATCTCTGCATTGGCAGCGAAGGGAGAGTTCACAGTACCAATAAGCGAGGTGTAAAGTAGAGATGAATTTGTCGTAGAACTACCGGCAGATGTGTCAGGAGTATTTTCCTGAGACGGCATAGGGGAGGAAAGGGTGCTCAATGAACAAGCATCTGGGGAAGGCATGGGGGTTGATGGCTGAGACATTGTACAAAACTGAAGGATGCTTAGCACAACAAATAAGGCAAAAGTAGATGGATGGTTGGAGGTTAGAATCACACCGGCTGGGTTTTTATATGGTGCACAGTATAGTCTATAAGACCAAATTTGAGCAGCAGTGAACAGCACGAAAACAAAATAAATAAAATAATTGCACGTACCACGATGCAAGATGCAAGGCAACTGATTTGCAGAAGCCTTGTGTAGAAGTCTAAAGGTACACAAACGATTGAGGTGATCGGTGTTTTATAGACTGCAGACATAGGCGCAACATTCAATTTAAGTCTGGAGTTGATTGGCATTTTGGAGGCTATAGACATAGATGTGCACCTCCTGACCATTCAGGCAAGAGATATCCAATTTATTCATCTCGGAGATTTTTGCGTCAAAACGAGGGTTTCCATCATTTTCTCTGCCATCATAACTCCAGATATCAGAGTCATCTAAAATCCAAGCCGAAAAATGATAGCCACCTAAGTATATGATTCCGCAAAGAGCGTACTGTGCTTGCTTTTCTGTCAAACAAGGAATAGTGAGCCTGAGGGACAGTTTGACCGAGCAATGAATTGCATGGAAAAAAAATGAAGCACAGAGATGTCGCCAACTTGATGTTCCATGCAAAAGTTCCATCACACAATGACATGTTCCAGGCAGACACCACTCCCTCGGGTATAGCAGATCTCTTCGCGTGATAATGAAGCCATAGATCAACCCACTGCTGCAAGGAAATAGATTCATTGTGTGCAACTACAGATTCAGGTAATGGAACACACATGGTCGGGAATTCAAACGAGAGATCAATTGAAGTCACAGCTGGGATACTGTCATGTTCTGGGTCTGTAATTGATGCAATTCCACACAGCAAGAGCGATAACAAAGGCAGAATAGACTCAAGCATGCGAGTGACGGAAGCCCCTACCATACCGGTACGAGGGAAGTGTTGTGGATTCCGTGCAGATAGAACATCCCGGAAATCGTCACGGAAATGGTTGAAGAGATCCTGTGAATGGATGTGAGTCTGAGACGCCAGTACACAAAAAGAGTGAGAGAGTGACACACGCAGTTCATCCTGATCGAAGATCCATAAACTCTTCCATATAGTGTCTCCACAACGATAAGCATGAAACAGAACCATGAAAACACTATTGTAAGAACACGACCAGTCCTCCGATGACCAGGTACATCCAGCACTAATTTTTGCTAGACAATGGAGGGACTGCGGTTCATGACCAGGAAGGCAACCCTATCCCAACATCAATTTCGGAGAACTTGCGTTTGTGTTTCATCTTCGCTGGCGGATTATCAGTATCAAACTCTGCAGCAACCACTTTCGAATGCTTCATCGAATACTCAGCTTCTGCATCTGGGACATCCACAACAGTGCCATCACGGAATCCGTGCTTGATATATGTGTTGTGCTCTATCGCATCAAATCTTTGTGCTTCTTGTAATAGATCTGAAGGAAGAGGCTTGTTTAACTGATCAAGTGTCACTGGACAAGATATGCACAAACCATCATGAGTCTGTGCATGAGACGCAGCAACATAAGCAGCAAATCCACCCTCGTGTAGATTTATTAAGACCTTTGGAAGTGTTTTCCCCTGCGCAGAGTGTCCCGTTACCGCAAATGCTGGTTGGATCGGAAGCTGATAATGAGTGATTTGTTAAAGAGCGAGAACTAAGGTAGCGTGAGTCTCAGTCAATGGTAGAAAGACTCTATTCGTGTAAACTAACCTAAGGTAGCGTGAGTCTGTAGGACCGCTAGTAAGTATCATGTATAGTATAATATGAATGGTATGCGCACCTCAGTCAATGGTAGAAAGACTGAGGTGCGAGTATAGTGTCTAGCCATCCTTAAATAGAAAAGAGAAAATGGTCAGTAACTAGGGTGGATGACGTCCAGTGACACTGGCAGCTAAGGTACATAGAACTGGAACAGTTAGATATATTTATCTGGAACCGGCTCGGTGCTCTGATGGATCACCTCTCAACACTCCCACTCGTCAGAGCGCCTGGCAGGTCTTGACGACGTAGTCCCATGTTTTCCCGATGCTGGATCCCAGCTGGGCGAGGTAATGCCTTCGTTAGACTATCAGCAATCATCTCCGAGGTGGATTTGTACTGGAGTTCGATCTTGTTCGTGTCGACGAGGTTGCGGATGAGATGGTAGTGGACGCGAATATGTTTGGCTCTTTCGTGGAATCTTGGATTCTTCGAGAGCGCAATACTGGACTGGTTGTCTCCATATAGGAGTGCGGGATTGTAGAGTTCGGGGTCAAGGCGGAAGTCGTGTAGAAGCTGGATTAGATATAATGCTTCGCGTGAAGCATTCGATAGACCTATATATTCGGCCTCCGTGGTCGAGGTAGCGACCACAGATTGCTTCTGAGACTTCCAACTAATGGGCCCTCCGAACAGTTGATAGACATAAGCGCTGGTGGACTTGCTATCGTCTCGATCTGCAGCATAGTCCGAATCCGAGTGTCCAACGAGTCCCTCGTTCGACGAGCCGAAGATGAGTACTAAATCCGTAGTTCCACGAATGTACCGGAGAAGATGTTTGAGTTGACGATGATGGTCGATACTGGGGTTCTCCATGTATCGGGAGAGGCATGAAACTGGGTAAGCGATGTCGGGGCGAGTGGTTCGCATAGCATAGTTGAGTTCACCGATAGTTCGGCGATATGGGATCGACGCAATGGCGTCCGCTTCTTCACTCGTTGGGGGACGTGTAGCCTTCTGCAAGGTTACTCCAGGTGTCATAGGTGTACTGACAGGATTGCACAGTGTCATGCCGGCGTTCTCGAGAATCTTCTCAAGGTAAGCCTTCTGGCTAATGGTGAGGAGCCTCTTCTCACGGTCGCGCATAATGTGCATGCCAAGGAAGTGGCGAGCGGGACCGAGATCCGATAAGTCGAAGCGTTGTTTTAGCTGTGTCTTGAACTTGTCCAGGTAATCGCGAGAGTTCGACGCTGCGAGCATGTCGTCGACATAGACGACTAGCCATATGACTTTGTCTCCCTCGTGGAGGACATACAGACTGTGATCAGCTTCGCTCCTTACGAATCTGAACCCCTCTTTCCGCAGGTACTCATCCAGTGTCTGGTTCCACTCATACCCCGCCTGCTTCAACCCATAAATCGCTTTCTCCAGCTTCCACACCCAGTCCGGATGTTCAGGGTCTTTGAAACCAGCCGGTTGCTTGAGGTAGATGTCCTCCTTGAGGTCAGCGTTGAGGAAGGCGGTACGTACGTCCATCTGGTCCAGTTCAAGGTCGAATTTCGCCGCGAGGGCGAGGAGAATACGAACTGTGTCGTACTTGGCAACGGCCGCGAACGTTTCTGTATAGTCGATCCCCTCAACTTGCGTGTATCCCTGCGCGACGAAGCGTGCCTTGTGACGGGTGATGTTGCCTTCTTCGTCAGTCTTTACCGTGAACACCCATCTCGAACCAATCGCTTTGCGTCCTTCTGGGAGTGGCATGAGTTTGTGTGTTTTGAGGTCCTGCATTGACTGTAGCTCGGATTTGCAGGCGTCTGACCATTGAGGCCACTCTGGTAATGACCGAGCTTTGTTGATGGTTTCGGGTATGACTATGTTTGAGCGTTTGGGAGGTTCGGTAGGTCTGGGAGGTTCAGTAGCTGTGTGCATTGCGGATTCGGTACTGTCGTTGTCGTGCTGACTGGCTGAGGACTCTGGTACATATGTCCAGCGTTCGGCAACAGGAACTCGTCGTGTTGGTATGGCTGTTGCGCTGGTGCCAGAGGGTGCGATATGGCCTGCTTGTACCGGTTGGCGTGAACGAGTGCTGCGACGAGGCGGAATATCCAATGGAGGTGCAGGGGGAGGAGGTATTGGAGGTTGCTGTGGGATAGGCGGTGTTACCTGTTCAGTTGGGTCAGGTGTTACTGGCAGATCGTTCTGGTCAGGTGGGTCGTCATGCTCTCCCACTGACACCTGTGGTACGCAGTCAGCAGGGGTCGATAGAGGTGGCTCACCAGCCTGCGCTCCCACTGATTGAGAGACACCTCCCACCGATGAAGTGACAGCAGGGAGATCCGTCGAGTCACGAAGGAGAGGAGCGAGGGGTGAGGAAGCAGGATCCCCATAGAACACGTGTTCGTCGAAGTGGACATGACGGGAACGCACGACGCGTTTGGTAGAGGGATCCCAGAGAGTGTAGCCTGCATTCCGTACATGGCCAAGTAGGAAGCAGCGACGAGAGACGAAGTCGTACTTGCGGCGGGTGTCCTCTGGTATGTGCGCATAGGCAAGGCAACCGAATGGGCGAAGGTAGCCGACGTCCGGCTTGCGACCATAGAACACCTCAAATGGTGTGCGACCAGCGAGAGATGAGGAAGGGAGCATGTTCTTGATGTGGGCTGAGTTCAGAATTGCCCAGCCCCAGAACGAACGCGGGAAGCCACTCAGGTGGTGTGAACTGAGTGCACGAGTGACAATGGTTTGGTGCCCGCGTTCTGCGACACCATTTTGCTGGGGAGTCCAGGGCATGGTGGTTTCGTGCTCAATACCATGTTCCCCAAGGTAGGTCAGAAATTCCCTCGACATGTACTCGCCTCCGTTGTCACTGCGAAGCCGCCTGACACGCCCCCCAGATTGCGTCTCTATCCAGGGCATAAAGTGCCGGAAACGATCAAAGACTTCGGATTTGGCACGCATTAGATAGACCACTGAGTACCTCGTGTAGTCATCAGTGAATACCACAAAATAGTGGTCACCGGTAGAGGAAGTGATGTTGACTGGTCCCCAGACGTCGGAGTGAACGAGGTCGGCTGTCGCTTTAGCGCGGCGTGCAACGGCAGGAAAGGGAAGTCGTTTATGTTTTCCCATAACACAGGACACACAGTGTATCGTGTCGGCGCCGTCGACGTGATGATGCAGCGTGGTCTTGTCAATGTTCATTCCACTGACATGTCCCATGGCCTTCATAATGGTCGAAAAACCAGCATGCCCAAGACGACGATGCCACGTATTGAGAGATGGAGGCGTAGCCTTTGTGAGCATCGCGCGTGCAGGGGTGGAATAAGCCATGTGGTATGTCGCATCTAGCAGATATAATCCGCCTTTCTGGTGCACGTGGGCGATGTACAGCCCATTGCCATCGTTAGAGCGCAGTGTTCCCCCTTTGGAGGTTGTCGTGAAGGATATATGAGCAGAGGCGAGGGTGGAGACCGAAATGAGTGTGCAACGTAGATCGGGGACATGTAGGAACTCGAGCTCGTGTTCCGTCAACGAATCACCAAACCGGAGAACAAGCTTCACTTTACCCCATCCTGGAGCTAACAGTGAGAAAAGCGTGATATTTCGGGCTCCATATGAGCCGTTGAGGCAGAGTCTACATGGAAGGATCCAGCCGGTAAAGTAAGGGCTGATGAGATATTGGCTGAGTGATCCTTTAGCGTAAGGACGAATGGAAGTGGTGTGATAGACTCGTCAGTTGGGTCTGGCAGGGAGGACACCGTGTCAGCGGTGGTAGCGGCAGGGGAGGAAGGACTAGGTGCTGACTTTGGAGTCTTGTTGTCCTTGGAGAGCCGTGCACGGCACTGTACCCAGACATGACCGGCCTTTTGACAGTGGCCGCATTTAGGTCGCCATCCTACTATCCAGCCATCCCCTTTCGTCTCATCAAATCCTTTCGGTGGGACACGATCGCTGGTCTTGGGGTTGGAGGAGTTTCCTCCTCGGTGTCCAGAGAGCATGGCCACGTGGTCACTGCCACTGGTCCCAGCACGGTGCAATTCCTGAGTCTTCAGGCGATTCACAACATCGCTGAAGTCTAGCGAAGTGTCGCTGTTGACGAGGGTTTGATGAAGGGGGTCATAATAGTCAGGTAGGGTGCGCAATAGAACATGCACGAAGATTGCGTCCGGGATCTTGTACTCGTCCTTTGCCGCAGTTGTAACGACACTGGTGGTGGAGGGTGCGACTGTGGTGACAGAGAGAGCTGCAAGGTCTGATTTCAGCACAGTAAGGGTTTGCATGGTTTGGGCGATGGAGGCACTGTCATGCGCCTTGGGAATGGTGAACAGGTGGTCCAGGTATTGATTGAATTGAATAGCTTTTTGGGGAAGGTACTTCTTCTCTAGAGCAATCCACGCCACGTGCGGATCATCTATATTGCGGAGGTGGACGAAGTCCTGCGCATCAATTGCCGTGGACAGAGCGCTGAGAGCGAGGAGTCGGCGTTGCTTGTAGACTCGTACTCGCTCGTCGTGTTTCTCTGCGCGAATAATGTTTTGATCCACGTCCGTGAGTGTGGCTGGAGGTGATGGTTCCGTCTCGTCGCCGTTGATATATGGCCATAGTCCAATGCCGCCAGACCACATCTTAAAGCCAGTGGCCCATTGAGAGTAGTTGGATCCGTCGAGGGTGAGCTTCTCATGCGGATATCGTTCAGTTTTGGGAAGGGAGTCAGGAGACGACATGGTAGTGTCAGAGCCGAGTGGTTATCGGCGAGAGAATGAGAGATTTCGAGGAGAAGATGTCGCTACCTTTTAGTCAGGGCTCATAACCTGTTAAAGAGCGAGAACTAAGGTAGCGTGAGTCTCAGTCAATGGTAGAAAGACTCTATTCGTGTAAACTAACCTAAGGTAGCGTGAGTCTGTAGGACCGCTAGTAAGTATCATGTATAGTATAATATGAATGGTATGCGCACCTCAGTCAATGGTAGAAAGACTGAGGTGCGAGTATAGTGTCTAGCCATCCTTAAATAGAAAAGAGAAAATGGTCAGTAACTAGGGTGGATGACGTCCAGTGACACTGGCAGCTAAGGTACATAGAACTGGAACAGTTAGATATATTTATCTGGAACCGGCTCGGTGCTCTGACGGATCACCTCTCAACATGATTGGCAATTTTTCCAAGGCGCCATCTGAACCTTGGAGTAGAGTCGTGAACATCCAACTAACCGGTGTGATGGGGAAGTCTCCTGGCGCAAGGTCACTCAGCTGCACTTTAGACAATGGAAAATGCACAATTACACAGGTTGCGTATGGCAGCCCATTAGGACAATTCTCTGTCAAAATCTTGCGCACAAAACCTTGCGACCCATTTGTTATACCAAGATCCGTCGACAAATTACGAAGGCACAGGATGACAGGCATATCAACATATAGAGGCAAACAGCCAGGTAATGTCTGAGTTGAATGAAGTGCGGCCATATCAAGGCGAATTAGCTTCCGACACTCGTCTCCATTGAGAACCTTGTGAGAACATTTGTCTAAAGAATAACAAGAGACAAGACACCCTTTGCCACAACTAACTTCTGCTTTATGTCCATTAATGGCTTCACGGAGGGCATTAGTAGCAACAATCACTGATGCAGAATAGTTGTCACCGTCGCTCATGTCCACACCATCTGGACAATTAACACTTTTGATTAACCATGAATTGAAAAGTTCCACATCCTCAAAAGTACGCTGTCTGACGTGCAATCAACAGACTGCATCACTGTATGTCATGTCGTTCTTCATGTGTTGCTGTTCAGTGAGACCCACAACGGTATTGACTGTTTTCCATGCCAACTGTCCAAGCCTTTTGCATATCTCATCATCACTCTGACCACTATATACAGAAATAGGCATATACAAGGCACTCCCACCGACCGGGGGATACTAGTAAAAATCCCCGGAAAAGATCACTGCAACGCCACCAAACCACTGATTGGGCCTCTCTTTAGTGAAGTGTAGGGCATGATCGATTTCAGCTAGGAGTTGAAGACTAACCAGGGAAATCTCATCAATCAGCAGGAACATGATGTTTTTCCACTCCTCACGAAGCTGAGTCCGTTTACGAACACTGACAATCACTGCATAATCTTGATTACTCTCACCAGGTTCCCGATTGCCCTTCCCTTTATTCTTAGATTTGATAGTGATTCCTAGACCTCTGTGAACAGTCATTCCATCAATAAGAGCCGCAGCGGAGCCAGTGGGTGCGAGTAATTGAATCATATGTCCACATCCATAATACTGCATGACTGCACAGACTGCCTTTATAACATGAGTCTTTCCTGTGCCACCTGGACCAGTCATAAGCATTGTAAGCTGTTCAGACTCTTCAATGCACTTAACAACATGCTTCCACACAAAGTGACCGGCAACGATCCGAAACGCTATCCACTGCTGCTCGTTTAAACCATGTTCTGTCCCAATCTTCTTTATCACATCATCGGGGGACAGTGCAGCGGATGTGATAACGTCTAGGGCAGGTGTCTCTGTGTCATCTACTGATCCAACTAAAACATCTCGAACAGAGCTGCACACTTCAGTATCACAAATCAAAGCTCACTCAATTTGCTGGTCAGGGTTTAGGGCATTCCGACGAAGATCTGCTACACGTGCTTCCTCTTTTTTTTTTTTTTGATTTCAGTCTTCCAGTTCTTCAAGAGGATTTGAATGTCTCGATCTTGAAATGTGGTCGAAGGAAAATACTCTCAAGACTCTGCGGTGACAGTCGGTGCTTTATTCAGCCAATGGGATTGTTTGAGAAGCAGAATAAACTGACTAATACGAAATTCTTCTTGCGAATCACACTTTGTAGACCCAGCCACACCAATAATATCAACCTTGCTATCCACAGAGATGGGGACCAAAGATGTATCCGAATCCGCTTTGGTGCTACCAGTTACCCAAGCTTGTTTCAGTAAGCGTTCAGCATCCCGCTGATCCTCACATTCATGAATAGCTTCCCAATTTTTCATTATCATATTTGCTCTGTCCAGAAATTTAAACCTGCTAAAGACCTCTTTGATGGTCGTGTCATCAGGAAGAAATACCATGTCAATGCTAAAGGGCTTGAAATGTGCCAGTGTAAACCACGTCCAAGTCTTTGCATTATTTGGACGAGGGATAGACATTCCCACCACTCGCAGTATGTACTCGAAGGTAGAGTCACCACGTTCTTCATTAGTGTGCTCAATCAACTGATGTGTCTTGGTCAACGGGTGTCCATCTTTCAAGACATGTCTTCTCAAAACTCCAAGACATGTCTCAAAAGTGTTCTTGGTATCTTTTCGTTTACCCTTCGTCTCAATATGAACACATCGACAGAATTCGTAGAAAGACAACTCAGCTAGTGTGTCACCCCGATAGATGTAATGATGAATTTGATTCATCTCTGCAATATCCCCATTCTTGTCCATGGTGACACGAATGTGCACATGTTCTACAACATTGTCGTCGTCGTCGTCATCAACGTCATTGTTATCTCGATGCAAGTCCTGTCCCTGACTTTTCCATTTGACATGATCTAAGAGCAAGGAAGACATCATAGGTACAGACTTATGAGAAGGGATACCATCATCAAACCCACAAACATATCTAGCTGCCTGTTGGGCATGAATCTGCAACTGTCGACTAAACTGAGTCAGACATTTGTGTAGCAGCATCTTCACACTTCCTATAGTGTCCATCCGTTCAGTATTGTCAGGCAAACGAGCCACTGCATGAGAGGAGCGAGAGCATCTCGCACGTCTTAACATCCATCTTTGTGATATAATCTGATATATAAAACATGGCAGCTTTCACACCTTTTCCGGACAATATACACTTCAAGTCATGATTGTGTTGACAAAAAACGAGTATGTATGGGTTGAAATAGTTCATGGTACCATCACGACAGACTAAAACAATGGCATTGCTTTCCGGATCAAAGTAAGATGCATCTACAACTTCGTGGGGGAAAAGGAATCTGCATCTATCAACATTGCCATATTTATGGCACACAGGTTGGCAATGGTGATGCTGCAACATCTCACCACATTTTTTGATCTCCGTAGCAAACATATCAGCACCCCACTCAATAAGTATATCATGCACACATTTACCATCTCTATCTGGCATCAGAGGTGGGGCTGGAGGACGTTCTAGACGAGGGTTGTAGCTCGGCTCTATTTCAACCTCCACATCCAGCAAATGATGGTGAATAATGTCGTTGAAGAAAGCAAAAAATTTCTTTTGATAAACCTCGTCATGCAAATTCCAATGGATATCTGTCGGGTTCATACCACCATCAAGCCAGATGAGGAAATGGCCATGTAAACACCCCCATTCAGTATATTCTGACAAGCCATAGAAAGCACGCAAACGTCCAAACAAACCACTGCTCAGATAAGATGACTGTGTCTTGAAATTCCAACCAAGGAGGTACTCAAAACAACATTTGAATGAGAACTCGTAAAAATCTGCTGCCACCACAGGATCACATGCAAGACAAATAGCACGCTCGCATGCTGAAACAAGGCGAGGAAATCAATGCGACAGATCGACAGTCTGGTCACCGTACATGACCTGAAAGATAGGGCTACTATGGGCAGGACATGGGTTAAAGGTAAAAAACAAATGAGGCAACCCGAAATAACTGAAATAACTGTGTATCTCATTCTGTATGCAAATTTTCGACGCCTGAGACCCTGGGATCCGAGCTGCAATAGTGTTGACTTGCTTCAAGAGATTGAGTGCGTTTTTTTCTGCAGGCGCCAAGTTCAAAAAGTTATGGTCACGTTCAAGTTTCGAGGCAAGACTGTCCAAAATAGTGGGTGATACCTGGGTAAGATTTTGCGCGACTTGATGAAAGTTTGAACAGCACACAGTAAAGAAAGTGCCGAGATGGGCCATCCAACGTTGAATCATGTTCCACACCACAAAGATAAATGAGTGGTGGTATCAAAATGAGTGATCCGCAATGTTCAGATAATACTGAGCCTGTTTCTGGAAGGACAAAGCTTTAGGCCGAGCATCGTTTTCAAAACCTCCAATACCAAACGGGAACAGGGTGGGATATGTGCCTAAGAGTAGATCCGGATTATTGTACTCATTAATGGGATGAAAGCCTCGGTGCACCACAAGATCAGGCAGTGTTGACTTTTCAGAAAAAAGGTTCCTGAGTGCAGCAGCCATAAACGTGCGTGGGCCACTGATGTTATCGCATTCCGGATCAGACATGCCTGCTTTCTCAAGCATCGTTACACCAGAATCGGAGTCAACATCTACCGAAAGCTCCGCTGGATGCTCCTGAAATCCAGCTGTTTCTTCTTCAAAAACTCTCTTGAGATCGAGCTCGTTATTTTCAACCACACGATCAGATAATCCAGGCAACATGTCATCGGCAGGATAAAGGTTCAGATTGCCCGGTTCGAGTGGGATATCAGAATACAGACGATTATGATGTTTCAACCAAACAAGAAACGTCCAGATTTTATTCTTCCGCACTCAAAACATGGGACCCATCTGTTCAGGCTTGAATTTACCAGGACCAATGAAGATGATGCTGAGAAAACCATTCACGTCTGCAGGAGTCCGAGGCAACACCGAAGCAGTTGACACAACATTCATATCATGAGCACAAATATTACCATGAAAGACCTTCAGCTGCAGCAGATCAGACGACTGGAATAAACGTGTGACATGAGCCATGGTACTGTATATTGCACAAATTTTCTCCTTGACCCAAGTAAGGTCCTCGAAGTATTTCGGAAGTTTGCCATGATACAAGTTGTTCGTGAGCGCAAAACGGGGAACACAATTCTCCTTCGATAAAGCAGTAAAACAATCAGCACATACATTCATTGTAATCAAGTCGGGAGAATCTTCAATTATTCCTGCCTTGTCAAGCATCATGCCGTCTAGGACACTATTCTCGAACGTGAAAGCTGTGGAAACAGACTGCACAATATATTTTCAGATGATGAAAGTATCTGTAATGCGAAGAGCATCCAAAGTTATTAACGGGCACAGCGTGCCAGGCGTTGATGAGATAATAACCTCCTTGGAATCATGCTGCCTTTGAGAACATACCGCACAAACAGCAGGATCAATCCACTTCGAGCCTTCATAATAACGATGCAAGCAATCCAAAATGACCTCTTTCAAAACAGGTGCTGGCCATTCACGATGATGCACAACATCAAGATTTTGTGCTTCAATCGCCAACTCAATTTTACGTTCACATCGCGTTATTTTTCGTTGGTCGGACTGAGAAAGTATTTGATGTCCGAGATGCTCCACCACAGCAGATCCGTATTCAAACGACAGGATTTGCAGAATATACTCCTCGTCTAACTGATTACAAGGCTGAGACAATGGTAGGTAACAGAGCAAGATATCACACACTGTACTTGGACCGATATATTGCAAGAAATTCACTCGATCACGAATGTGAACAGCAAGACCATTGCAAGTCTTCTGACGTGAGCGGCGGTTTATCGATGGATGCCCCTTCGAAGGTAGACCATGTATACAATCTGAAAGCACTTCGATAGTCAGTTTATGAAGCCTCTGAACTAAATATGTAATCAGGAGAGCAGACCAACGGATTTTTGGCACATCGACAGGATCAAAGACACAAACCTGTGGTGGTGGTGGTCGACACAGAGCCTCAAAAACATTTTTTCCATATATATCACCGAAGTACCTTGCCAAACGAGGAATGAGTTGGCTACCTTCTGCAACGATTGGGGTGTGGGAAAGTAATGTTTGCAGTTGATCCTTACTTGAATGCATCACTTGTAGTCGGGTGGCAGCAAAATGATGTAGCACCGCACGCACACAATCCTTTTTTGTTTTTCCTCGCGGAACAGAGAGACGAGAAATACAATCAACCAAGACACCATCCAGAAGGACCGATAAATGTTGCTCTTGAATTTCCTCGCTGTAATAGAACCATGTCGGGTAGACATCTAGCCTTGAAGGCAGGCACTTCTCGATGGAGAGGGCATCACAAGAGGAAAGCTTGCAAAAGACAACACAATGACAGTAACTTGCATCTGCAAATTCACCTGGTGTCATAGTCAATGATTTTTGTTGGTGGCATATAGTGATACTAACACCATCATACGAAACACAACCATGAAAACTTGACCAGCAGCACTTCAAGCAACACAAAGGATGAGATTTAAGTGAAGACTTCAACCATGTACAAAAATGTTCGGATGTTTCAAAAAAACGCAAGATTACATCATGGATAATAGAGTGCATCATAATAACAGGGATATTTGTTCACATCGTGGGGCTCATCGAAAGGAGGACATTGTCCTTCATCAAGGACTCGAGCCAAATGACAAGGCAACTTTGTAAGAAAAACCCTGAACACACATAAGCTATACTGCAATGAAACAAATGAATTATACTCACATGTGCCTGCCGCAGTGCGTGCTTTTTCAGTGTATCTGCAAGTATTTGGTGGAGAAAGAAAAAGGACAGCGTAATGCTTTCCCACAACATCGACCACCAAACTAAGCAAGCGCACATCTTCCCACACCCACATTTTCCCACACCCATGGGTCCGTTTGCAGAGAAATAGTCATTTCCTTGCAACAAAACCCTCTTCCACTAAAGTGGAGTCGGGGAATCTGGATGGAATACATGATCGGGAATTGTGCGCTGACCTGAAAAGTTTAATGTTGACACTCTGACAGTTTACATTTTGAAACTCAGTATCACCACAACTTATAAGTTGGGCACCTCTCACATCAGGGTTATCAATATTTAGGAGAGGTTTACATGTTGTACTAAATGTGAAAAAAATATTTGGAGTTTGAACTGACATAAAAATGGGCATATAACTTCAAATTTAGTCAGTGTTGTATGCGAAATCCTAAATATGAAATATCCGCAGCTATTTTTCCACTGACTATATGTCAACACAAATAAGAAGTATAATCAGATTTTCAGCGTCTGCTTGAATTTTAAATTTAATTATCACTTAAAACTTCAGACAAAACTTGAAGTTTAATCTCCTTGCCACTGTTTTAAGTTTTGTCCGACAATTAGATGTCATCAAAATTTTGAAGTTTATGCCAGCGACAAGATGTGATGACAAAACTTGAAGTTTTGTCCTTCGACAGAATGAATCGCCCGATCGTTGCCCGCTCATTGCTTAATTATCGCCTGCTCATCACCTGCAGCATGCAGCACAAAATGGCGATCATCTATGATAAGTTGACCCCTGAGATCAATCTATTACTCAATCATAGCCTGGTCGTGTCCTGACAACTAACATATGTAAGGACGGAACATTTGATCTGTGGTACATATAATATATTCTGGTTCTGTCTACTGGTTATCAATGCAAATAGGAGTGTAGCACGTTCTCATAATCATACTATAATACATATGCGATACAACAGCACAACTATGACTCGGTCCAAACTAGATAATCTTGTCAGTATCAATGAGGCAGTTGGGTTAGGTGACTCTTACTGTCAATCGTGAGATAAGGATAGAATCACTGCATGACAGTCAGAAACTGCCCACCGCGCGAAGTGGCTAACTACCCAGGACGCCTTGACTTTTTTGAGACGACTCTGGAAGTTCATCGAGTACAATTTGGCTGGAAAATCGGGATACATCGAGAAGGGGTCGATAGTATGATTGTGGAGGTCCAGCGGGAGATGGCGCTGTACAGCAAACAACATTTCTCCTGTCAGCGTACCATAGATATATTTGATACTAGCGGGGACAGGAGTTAATGATCTGTCTCTGTTGGGATAGAAAAAAATCTGGCTGTTCCCCATGTGCATAGATGCCCTGCTGTAAATGATGCCGTCAAACTTCAGCGAGGTGCGTAATACTGCTGTTCGTCGCCTGATGAGGGTATATAGATCCTCAGGCACTGTACTGGTTGTTGACAAGTCAGGCGCTGCCTGGACAACATCATCCATAGGTTCTTTGGCAAGCTCTTGACTGGGATCTGGAGCACCCTTTGGGGCATATACTCTATCAAACAGGATCCTGCACTCTTGGATAGCAGGTGGACAGTCTGTTCGAGCGAGCCAATGGCGAAACCTGGTAGCCTTGATATACGAACACAGCATTGTATTCTCAAACTCCCCTGACAAAATATTAGCCTACTTTGCTCGTCCCGTATTCTGATAAGGACCAACCAAATTTGTGATTTACGGGAAGGCATTGGAGTATGCCAATCAGACATTCGAAAGGGAAACACCACCACGAGTGGGCGGGTCCAAATAGGAGTAAATAGTCATATAAGTGGAAAGATGCATGGTGATTTGGGCGGAGAGAGAAGGTAGGATGGATCTCCTTCAACTTTCCGACATAACCAGAGATATACGAGCGGTAGGTGTTTGCTCTTCTTGCAGTCATAGTCCGTGCACATGCAAGATTCACTGTGCACACTAGTTCCATAGTGTGATCAAGAACAGTTCTGAGGTGGACAGAGAGTTCATCAGAAGAATTTGAGGTACCGGCTCCCCACAAGCTCACGAGGGCGATGGGATAAGCGATCACCACTCATCAGCTTTAAGCATCCCAGCAGACGCCTCTCCAAAATTACTGGGGACTGAGCCAAGCCAAGTGGGGACAGATGCATCTCGGATGACGTCACGAATACGTCCAAGTACTTCTGCTGTCCCAAACTGAGGTTCTTCTTGGGGAGCAGTTAAAGGTTTTCCACGACGCTATGAATAAGTGTTAAGAAACTTGGGACAGTAAACACAATGACGAAGAACTTACCCACTCAAGAAGAGCTTTGACATAATCTATCTTGAATGTTCTACCAGCTTTCTGTGGCAAACAACCCAAGGTATTGCAGACAAACTTCAGCGGTCCCATATTCTTGTGGACCAGAGAGTTTTTCAGCTTGTTAAAACAAGCCTCTTCATTGGAAATAGTCATCTGGGAAACAAGGAGGGCCTGGATCGTAGATATCTGCATCATTTTCCTTGTCGTCATTGTCCTGGGAGGTACTTTGCCGAAGTCGTATGAAAATGCAAGAGGGGCAGAAGCCAAAGCAGTTGACCCCGAGGTCAAACCGAGCAGATTACGTGTGTGGTGAGGAACCAAACCTTCCAATAGACAGTGCATCAGATCAATAACAAGTTGCTGGGAGGGGTCCCAGTATGGTAGACGCCAGAGCTCAGAATAACACACACCATGAGTCTTGAACAGTGTTTCACGTTCAGCGGATGTGGCAGCGTCTCTCCACTGCTCAGCATGTGCTTGGAGTTTGTCACTATCACGAGGTTTCCAATTCTCGAAGTCTATTCTTCCATAAGTAGATTTGTGATAGCAATCACATGCACTGCAGTAGAAATGACTACTGACTCCAGCCAGAGAAGAGTGATGACGAGCAGCAGGAAGATCGCAAACAACGAGGGCAACAGCACTACAAGTTAGCCGACTGTTGGGGTAACACGGGGTTTTGGAAAACTTGATACCGCGCTCCCATGTGTCTACCAAATCATTGATGAGCGGTTGGATATAGTGATTGAGATTCTCCAGAGACGGCTGCTTTGGACCTGGGATGATACCTGCAAGATACATATTCTCCGGCTTATATCTGATGTCCAAAGGCAGATTCAAGCATGCCATGGAGATGATTCCACAGGATGTACTAGCTCCCCGCACATTCATCCCTTCTGGATTGAAGAAATCCACGTGAAAGGCGAAGGCATAATGTCCTTCTTCTCCTCTGTCGATAAAAAGTGTCTTAGGCTTTGGGCCGCCAAATTGACGGAGGAATTGGGCTTTGAATGGATTTTTGACAAAGGGTGGAAGAGGAGAGTTGATGGAGTCCATGAGATCATCACATGCTTCATCCATCACAGCTTCTACATCTCTACAAGAGAGGAGGCCAGAAAGATAGTCTTTGAAGTCGTGATACATGAAAATTTTCCTCGGATGGAGGTCTCCTTCAGCGCCAACAAGTAAAGAATTGCCACATTCGGTCCTGGGTGTAGGACAATGCATGCAACATTCAGGGTATCTCGCAGTCGTAGAGCCTGGTGCATATGCCGGAGGATAGGTACAATGACAGCTGCAGATGGCGTACGCAATAGTTTTCCCAGTGAGATGAAATTTTGCCTCTGCACCATCTGAGGTCAGGGGAATTTGCTTAAGGATGTTTTCATGTGATGAGCTGAGAGTGCCGTCTGACCTCCGAAACACGAGGAACAGTATGACGGAAATGATCTTTATGATTAAATCACAACTACTCCTGCAGACCCCCATGACAACTCTGCATGCCACACAAAGGAATAGGACGACTTGGCTGATCTCATCTGAGTGATCAACTGAAGGTTTCTGCAGAGCGTCTATTGAACGGTAAGCAAGGAACCATGGTTGACATACTCATGACTTACCAGTATTAATTTTGACAGGTACTTGCAGCGCATCCTGGTGGCCGCCAAATTGGGTAGCCAGGTCATCTATCTGTGTTGTGATCGCCTTCTTTCGTGCAATTACAACTTCTGCCCCTCCAGTGACGTTCTCCATAGCTGTGCAAAGCAAGGATAGCTCATGACCAGCGTCGTCAAGGCTACAAGAATGTAGCAATAAGCGAGAGCACCACTGAATCTGAGACTCAATGGTATCAAGGATATACAACCCTTTAACGGTGCACCGATTCCATTTCGGCTTTGATAGAGTCTTGCCAGCAGCCATCAGCAGGGCTGACATGCAATCCGACAACTTCAACTGCTTGAGGTTATCTAACAGAGCAGAGACAGAAACCGCAGGAGGGTTGCACGGTCCTGGGCGATCCAGATCATTGTTTGTTACAGATGCAAATGATGGGGGCTGGGAATTATCCGTGGAAAGGGTCAAACAACTAAGATCATCAGTGATAGAGGAGACAGCAAGTTTGCCAGCTATGATGGACGCAGTGCACTCAGTGCTTTCTGCTTTTACACACCGGACATGAGCCAAGATTGAACGTTCTGCTATTAGCACCCCTTTTGGTGTGCCTTTCTCATCGTATCCACCCTTTTCAATGCACTCCTCACACGTGCATTGTGTGAGCGCTGTATGGGACGCAGGCATCGAGCGAATAAGGAGCTTGATGGCGATGACAGTATGTACCGTCGTTGTCTATGGATGGGGTCCTGAGTCTTGCAGACTGAAAATAGCCTGGGGTGACCATTTAAATCGAAGAAAAACAAGTGAAAAGCAGAGTGACTTACAACAACGATCGAAAGTACAAATCCACTAGGAAAACAACAGATAATAATGCGATCTTACTTCAATAAGAAACAGAAGTGACGAAGTACAAGGTGCTTACCTACATGGGTGCCATCAGGATACAACAGTGACTAAACATGGACAAGTGACATGGAGACACTATAGGAAAACGTGGGAGGAGATTGAAGTCAGGATGGTGATGGAATTACAGTGAGTATATACCAGCCCATTTCTCAAACTCATCACCCAAATTTGCATTAGGGATTGATTGAAGTCGGACGGAGGAGTTGGGCGACGACGACAGGATGACACGGCAGTACATACTGCCGTATCAGGAGTCCAGTACGATGAACCCAGTCGAAGTCCAGCAGACATGACAGTACAGACCGTCGTGCCAGAGGAGGAGAGGATAAGCGCGTGTTATGGATTGATCGAAGTCGGAGGAAGGAAAGTCGGAGGAAGGAAAGTTGGAGGAAGGAGTTGGTCCGGACGATGAACCCAGTTGAAGTCCAGCAGACATGACAATACAGACCATTGTGTCAGAGGAAGAGAGGATAAGGACACGTTAGGGATCAATCAAAGTCGGAGGAAGGAAAGTCGGAGGAAGGAGTCGGTCCAGACGATGAACCCAGTCGAAGTCCAGCAGACACGACAGTACAGACCGTCGTGTCAGAGGAGGAGAGGATAAGGGCATGTTAGGGATCGATCGAAGTTGGAGGAAGGAAAGTTGGAGGAAGGAGTCAGTCTGGACGATGAACCCAGTCGAAGTCCAGCAGACATGACAGTACAGACTGTCGTGTCAGAGGAAGAGAGGATAAGGGCGCATTAGGGATCGATCGAAGTCAGAGGAAGGAAAGTCGGAGGAAGGAGTCGGTCCGGACGATGAACCCAGTCGAAGTCCAGCAGACATGACAGTACAGACCGTCGTATCAGAGGAGGAGAGGATAAGGGCGTGTTAGGGATTGATCGAAGTCGGAGGAAGGAAAGTCAAAGGAAGGAGTCGGTCAGGACGATGAATCCAGTTGAATTCCAGCAGACACGACAGTACAGACTGTCGTGTCAGAGGAGGAGAGGACCAGGGATAGATGTGACAGTACAGACCATTGTGCCAAGTAGAAATTGAAGTATAAGAAAGTATACATATCAAGTATACAGGATTAGGATAGAATAAGCTTGAGGGGACTTAGAATCAATTCGTCGGAAAGTACAAACACCTGCAAATAAAGTCACGTGCAAACTCCGACTGTCTGAATCAACTCAAGTTCTAAGTTCTCAGTTCCCCATATCTCCTCACCCATCTAGGGCTCAGTGGTTTGTACTGCTGAGTCTTTTCTTTGACTCATAACCTCCATCGCTCAGCGGTCTGTACTGCTGAGTCTTTTATTTGACTCATAACCTCCATCGCTCAGCGGTCTGTACTGCTGAGTCTTTTCTTTGAATCATAACCTCCATCTCTCAGCGGTCTCTACTGGGCGTCTTCCCCCCACCCTCTCGAATAGAGATTCACCCTGTTCGCCCCATTATCTCACCCAGCCCATGTCACCCGTCAGGCAACTCTGTCTGATCTTCGGACATCCCTCCACTTGCACTGTTATCTTGCCCAGTCCATATCTTTTCACCCGTCAGGCGATTCTTTCTTGTCTTCGGTCATCCGTTCTGTACATCACCACGTTATCTCGCAGATTTCGCCCACCCCATCCCATTTCACCTGTCAGGTGTTCTTTCTGATCTTTGGCCATCCCTCCACGTTATGTGGAGGGGTTTACGCAACAAACAGGAGACGGTGTTAAGATGTTACAACATTTTTACGTCACAAGAGAATGTCATCTTTCCCCAAATCATTGTGTTGTCTCCGAGCTCTTCTGATATCGTCTTCTCCTGCCTTCACCGCCTCAATAAATACCCTTTCGGCTTCTGCGGCAATCTTGTCGTGTCGGGTCACATCGTGAATATCCTCACCCACACCTCCATCTCTCTCTGCTTCTCAAATGACTTCGATGAGTTTTCCTGCAAGTTCATGTAGCATCAATATGTTGCTCTGTTCATCCACTTCCTGGTGGGCTTCTGGTACTTCGTTGAATACCTTAGCACTTTGGTGGAAGTTGTTATCCGAAAAGTCAAGCACTCGAGTCATTCCCATGCGTTGGGCAAGGTCTCCTGACCATGTTGCCACTGCGTCCTGTGAAGGTATGAATTTGTTGACTGCTGCTGAGCTGCCACTTGACTTACGAAGTAGTTTGTTATCAAAAAACAGATGATAACCACCAAGGCACCAAAATGAACCAGGATTTTGAATGCGCGCATAATCACATGCGACATAGGCTGGGAATCTTCAGAGGTAAGAGTTTCCTTTGCTGGTCCATAGTTATAGACCCATAAGTTGATTGTAGCCTTTCCATGGCCTAGCGCTGGTGAAGAACTGGTGACTGTACAGCGCCTGTTAAGATCATGCGTCTTGGGAGATAATCAGTACCCATCCTACCCTTTGAATAATTTGACACCTACCGCTATTGTCTGCACCAAGCCCATATTGGAGTGACAAAGAGTCTCTAATAACTTCCCTGATTTCCTCTCGAATACATACACCAATCCATGATCACTCCCCCCGATGATCAGTTTTCCTTGTGCGGCGAATGCCACCTGCTTGGGGATGGACACACTTGGAGCAGCGGTCATAAATGTTCGAACTGGTTCCTTGTCACCTTCAAGTTGATATAAAGTAAAACCATCAGTAGCATTGTCCACCACGAAGACGCCCCTCTTCTGGTTGACTGCTGCGTGTCCACTGAAAGAAGGTCAGTGATACATTTGTCAATGACATACCATGGACTCTTACATAACTGATTGGCAGCTATATTCCTTCACCACTGCGCCATCATCACCTTTCAGTTTGATGAAGTTCCCATCATACAGTCTGAAGACATAGACACATCCATTGTCTGCAAATGCTACATACTTGGGCACTGTGTTATCGAGTCGCACTGAAAACATGGCCTGCAGCTGCGAGTTTGTGTTGAGAATGAGGACTTGAACTATCTTGTCCCTCGTTCCCACTGCAATCCATGTAGTCGTTTCGGAGGATGTCGAATCCCATACCATGCATGTAATTTCGAAGCCCGATCCAAGCCTCCTAGCACAGATCTCCTGAAAATGCATATGTTGGATGTTAGCCGAAGGTTCAATGATGAGACCAGGAGACTCACATCTACATGGCTATGTCGTAAGAATACAACATAGCCCAGCCCAGTTCCATAACAAAGGGTTTCTGCCATGCCCAATCTTGTTGTGACCCAGACAGCGCAGCTGACTGTGCCTTGGGACTCATGGTGATGAATCAAGCATGTAAGTTCTTTCCGAGATTTGATATCCCAGAGTTTGATGCCCTTGGTCCCTGCTTGTTTGTTAGCACCTCCCATGACAAAGTGCATGTCAAATTACCACCGCATGCAAGAGCTTGGCCATCATTAGATATTGCAAGTACGTGAATGGACCCACCATATGTCGAAAGGCGCATTTGATGTTGGAAGTGTTGCTTTGATTTCACGAAGAGTGATGAGGCAAATAAAGACATTATTGCCTGCACAATCTGGTTGGTTGTAGTCGCCAGTTCACCTGCTCACAGCTTATTTATATTAGGTTCCCATTTGTTTTCACAACTTTTTGTTGATTCCATGGCGATTTGCTAGCCATTTATTGTTTCCCGATGTTTGTGTTCATCCTTACGTGACAATTTCATATTTCTATTATATTTAGGACTCATTTATTCGATCTTGTAGGCGACTTCTTTTGTTGATTGTCCTTATTGTTTAATCTCTATATAGGTCTACATTGAGTGGTGTCATTTGGGGATAAATCGCATTAGAGGTTATTACAGTTCATAGCCAATATCTTGACCCGCCCTAGTCGTCCCGCTCACGTCGCCGCAACCACAACATTATGCTCAACAAATCCAATGCTGTCCCTGCTTTCTGTGATCAAGAGCCTGGTGCTCCACCTCCCTTCCCTCCTATGCTCACAGACCAGCTTGAACTATTTGGCAGCACTCACCACTCAACTATGCTCGTTGCCGACGAGATTCTTCCTTCCAGAATCAGTACTGTTGTTCCGCCCACTCAGCATATTAAGCACCCGCAACTCAAGGACACGCTGGCGCCTGAGTTCAAACTTGCAGTACAGCCATTCAAGAATGACCACTCTTCCTCGCCATACTCAAAGAAATTGTTTGAGTGTTCACATTCCCATTCTCAAACGCCCATACCCTCAGATTCATTGGATTCATTAGATTCAGTGTCAGACAGTGGCTCCTCAACTTCGACTGAGAGTCTATCAGAAGATTCAAAGATACCCAAGCCCCCTGGTGAACCTGGTTGTCCAGGGCGTGGAGGATACACACTCCACGAGGCTTTAGACTGGAACCCAAAGGCGTATGCTAAGTTCAAGGTGAGTGACGTGCTCTCACCACAGCATGCTATTTGCTCATGAACCTGTAAGAAATCTATGCACCACCTCATTGAAGAACATCTTGATACGACCAAGTGTGCTTCTTCCCAAAACTATACGCTCCTGAAAATTGTGCGCGACAAGGTGAGTAGACTACGGATGGCAGTTGTCCACAATTTTATCATTTGTCAGGCTGTCGATGCTTTCCCGGACTTAGAAAACTACAGTGGCTTCTGGCCACTGAATGATATGATCATGATGCATTTGAAATATACATCGGGTCGTGCTAGGCAGAAGGAAGCAAAGATGGCTGCGGGCAAGACCAGGACCACGAAAAATTCATCGAAAGTGAGGATAATCCTACTACGAAGCTCATAACTGATATCAATCTACAGTAAACTTGATTCATACTATACACCCGTGTACCGCATTTTACTTGAATTACTAGGGTTGGCGTTGCTGACTTGTCACCTTGCAGAGCGCCATCCACGGAGACAAATAGCTAGATATTGATTGTCGTGTAACTCGTGTATCTTCGAACCAGCTGGAATATCAATTCCATATCTGCTATCCGGCTTATCACGAACTCACGCCTAACTATCAAAAATCCAAATCAACAGGATCAGGAGTAGTAAGAGCTTAGCACTGGGCCCTGATAGAAGTTTAAAGTTTGAGTCAATATAGGGTTGAGTTTGGTGATAATGTTCCTTTATTTATGGGTGTTAAAACTTCTGACAAACTGGTCTCGTGTGATAATTAAGCTTATTTTCCCTTCTTCCCCTGGTGCGATGGTGCGATGGTCTGTACTGTCACATCTGTCCCTTCCCTAGCACTATCCTGTCCAGCGCTCACGATGCATGTGACAAGAACGGCGCCATCACAGCGAACTTCATAATGTATTACATACAAATCATTATATATTACTTCAAATCAAACTACCTCGCTGTGCAGCCAGCCAGTGGTTGATCCGAGTGCTCAAGGGCTTCACGATGGTGAGACTACATGGGAGCTTTGCTTGAGGATGATGTCTGATACTTCGTGTAAAACTGATGGATTCTAGATCAACGAGGAATCAAGGAATCAACATCCAGTGATGCTTACCAATGCATGATGAAATCTGCGAGCGAATTATCCCTGCCTCGCATGTTCACAACAGAGCTGGCGCCAGCCCCAATCCTCATAACAACTGCATCACCTCGGAATATATGGTCGATGCTGCTGAGAAGTGGGTTGGCTCTCAGACGGCAGTGCCACTTGAAAAAACCACAAAACTGATATATGTGTCTTCCTTCATGCAAGGTGACAAAACAGTTATGCACGTAAGGCTGCACAGTTGCACAATCCAGAAGGCTCTTGGGAACAGGAAAGCGCTTCCCACTGCGTGAGTGATCAGAGCATTGTGTCAACATAGTGACCTGGCAAGGTTTACTCCATGATGAAGAATATAGCCTACACCACAAATGAAGTTCAGCAGTCTTCGTGTAGATGTCAGCAAAAATCAAGAGAGAAGCGAGATTATGACTTACAGATGATGTGGGGAAGATATAAATGCGAGTATTGACCATTGCAGCACAGGAATGACAAATGAAATTAGGTGATGAGTCTAGGCGACCAGCGCTAAGTACAAGGAGTGGACAGTGAACAGTAAACTTGAAAGTGAGTGGCGAAAGACTAGAGTGGGCAATGAAAGTGGGCAATCTTATAGTAGTTTTTAGTACTTACTTTGAACTGAGTGTACCCCGTGCAGAGTGCAGACATCCCGAAGAACAGATAAACGAACCAATCACCATTTCTATTGTCTTTATTTGTTTCGCGAAATGCAGGGACCAGAACAATAAATGCAATTCCATAAATACCTTGCCTGCGCATAGGCATTTTTGAACTCTTTTGTGTATTTAGACTTGGTCATTTAATTTGCGTTTATGACAATTACCTACCAAGGTGGAACACCCGAAACGACAGCCCTATCACAGAAGGCCCTGAAAAACGAATAATGCAACGTCGTCAAGGTGAAACACCAGTGACCGAAAAGTGGGGATCATGCAACAATGTTATTAGAATAATAAAATCTAGACACAATAATGGTGGCCATGTATAAGTAGGATCCATGCTGAGCCCAGAGGTCAAACATTGATGACGCTGACTTCCATTGCCATGTCAGAAACACAGCGCCATATTCACATTGAGCAGGAGGACATACAAACAGCCACTGATACTTACTTATTTGACGAAGACAACAATATGGAATACGATGAGAGTCAGACCACATCCCAGTTTGACACACTGCAATGTACGATGGCTAGCATAGTATGTCTATATTCATCGAGCGAATGAGAATCATGCCGGGCTCAGTGTCTGTTCTAGGTATCGGGAGAGGCCTCCCAGATGAACCTTGAAGAGCGCTTCAATGATGTCACAGGCCAGCCATCAACTTGGATGACTCGGTTGGGCAAGAGGGAGACCTCCCAGATGGACTTGGATGATGTCACAGGCCAGCCCCCAACAGCTCCGCTCGACAAGAGGGAAAAGCGAGTCACCAATCCGGTATGTTTAGGTTACATGAATGAATGTTAATGTTGGACTTACTTTTATCCAGGTACTACCTGACAAGTGTCGCATCAAAGAAGTTGACTACTCAGAGACATTACGCACCACCGTGTACAGTCAAAAGGAACTGATCAACAATATGAGAACGGTCCGTAGTATCTCACTGGACATCACCAATATCTGACCTGTGGGCGCTGTAGGAGGTGGAAAATCAACAAGTAGAACATGTGTGCAACATAAACGACATGAAACAGCAACTAGCAAAGGCCCATGACGAAATCAGAGTAATTCCTTCTGCAGCGTGTGACCACCAGATGTACACTTATGACCATGACAGAGGACCCGTGTCCAGCAGCAGCAACTTGAAGAACATATTAAAGAAACTTGCGAAGCACTCGGCCAGGGTAATCATGAGGCAATAAAGGCCGCTATGCAGAAAATCCAAGAGGACGCTCGCGACTACTTGGCACAAGAACGGGCACGGCAAGAAGCAGAGCTGAATGAAAAACCGATCCAACATGAGGAAGAGTTGAAGAGAAAGACAAATGAAGAGGTGACGTGAATGATTCAACAGGAAAACAGTTGATAACAATAAACAGTCTCAAGAGCGCGAGAATGCAACATTTGCTGAGATGGACCGGAGGTTACAGCAAGAAGTGCTCAAGTTGAAGGCGAGAACATGTTTCGAAAGAAATGGAAAATATACTGAAATACTCACCAGGCAGAAAAAGAGAGCGAGCTGGCCAAGATGGAATGGAGATTTTCCAGGTGTCACAGGTTTTAAGACAAGGTCACAGAAATGGATAATAACCCCAATATGCTGAGAGATGTGGGACAACCATTGTCTCCGTCCGCAAAACCACAATCAGGTACCTCATGCCTTAATGCGATTAAGAGGATAAAGAAAACTCACAGAATATCGCACAGGGTTCGCCTTGTATCACTAGTAGCAGAGGTAAGCATCTGATGCTGTGGACTGTGATTTAAACTTACACGATAGTAGGTGGACGAAGAGGAAGTACCTCAAGAACACTCGTCCAAACAAGACACACCACCACATCTACAACACGACACACCTCCTTCTACCACAATGGAAGACGCAATTGCAAGAGGTGTAGAAGCCGCACTGAGACGTGTTCTAATCGACAAAGAATTTCCAGTTATCAAGAAGCACAGTCCCCAGCAGAGAAAGATGGAGGAAAAAGAACTCCAGCAAGAGAAGGTGGCCGAGAAAAGCTATGAAAGAGACTTCTTTTTGGCAAGTCAAAAGGTGGTACGGAAGCTGCGACTTACAGTGATGTATAGGGCGAAGTGCGGTGTCTCTTCAAAGACATTTTCAACATTTCTCAAGACACCGATTTCATACTCCATCAGGCAGCTAGTCGTGAGGATGTCTACTCGTATGAATATGAAGACGGCCCAGGTCCCGATTACAAAGATCTTGCCTTTGATCTCAAATGTGGGTCCAAAAGCCCCTGGAACAATAAAGTCATTGGCTTGCTGCTTGAAGAATTGCGGAGAAGGGGTGACCAAGAGAGCTGGTCATTCTGAAGGTCAGAGGTGTATATGAGGGAAGTTCTTCAAGATTGTTACAAACGCCTGCGTACAGTGTGGACGGCTGCACAACCCAAGGTTACCGCAAAGGGTGGATTGGAGACTCTTGCAGAGGTGGAGCAGAGGCTGATCTCTAAGAAAGATGAGACATTGAAAGCAACTCATCAAACAACGTGTCGGAAAAATGTATGTTCATGAACTCCATACTAATCTGGTACTGATGCCTTCTCAGAAATATCTTCGCAGAGTCAAGGTTCTTGACCATCTGTCATATACCTGATCTGACCGCCCTAATATCAATATCCACTCCGCTTTCTGACCCCCTCCGCTTCATTCATCCTCCGCTCTGCCTGATCATCATTTGTATCCGCTCTGCTCGACCGCTCAACTGGTCCCCTTCCATAACATCTCCATTCAACTGGACCTCTTTCCCCTTTTAGATATATGCTTTCCTTTTCGGTACTTAGACCATTACTTCCGGATCACCGGTAATTCCTATTACCGCTCGATCACTGATCCGACGCGTACATATTGATATCCACCCCGACTTATGTCTTTCCTATGTAAAGTACTTACAAATGATATCCTTGGTACATAGCTTTACTACATAGTTATCCTGGTCACTGCCTCATACATAGAAGTATATAACATATCATGTACTTAGATATTTTTCCTTAGTCTTAATATTACTTGTCTTCTCGCAGTTATATCCTGTGAGGATTCTCAGTAGGACCTTGCCTCCTCTGGACACAAGTCTCAACTTGTTGTCACCTCTGACCCTCCGACCCTCCGCTCCATCTTAGAGCCGTGCTCTAAGTCTTTCCCTTATCACCCCGCCCCTATCAATATCCTCCTATCACCCCTTTCCCTATCCTCTGCATTATCCTCCGACATCTCCACTCCTATCAAAATATCTCCCTAGTTCCTATCCACCCTCCGCATCGTTCCCCACCTTCTCTGCTCCACTCCTAGTCAGTCCGCCGCTAGCAGCTCTTACTCCCTGACCCCCAAAGCGGACCCAAGCGGACCACTTGTCCTACCGTTGGACAACATCGGACCCACTCCAAATTCGGGGCACATACTCGGCTAAGGGCGCAGCACAAGAGCCGAAGCCAAGCCCTGACCCCTCTGCCTCTTGAGCCGGCATGGTACCTAACACCATCTCGTTAAGTACAAGACTGATGAGAATGAGGAAGACCTCCCAGCCTGGCAGTGGCTTCAGCAACTAGTCGGGACGTTGGGAGAAGACGGCATGAGTTCGGAGGAGAGCGACGTGGAAAATGATATTGAAACGGTTCTTTGTGTCAAGAACATGACTTGGCGCCGTGCGATCGAATGGGAATTGGATATTATTGATCACCAAAGGATCATGGACGATGATATCTTCACCCCCCAAGGTTCAAAGCCGATGAAACGGATATGCTCAGCTGGGAATCCAACGACATCCAAAAAAGAAGGGGATGGGTTGCCTAAAGCATTGTATAATGAGGAATGGCTTGCAGGTTTGACCAAGCGTCAAGTTGAGAGGTTATCAATCTCAGATGGAAGATTTAAGTGGATGAGAGTTGCGGTAGTGTAGGGCATCATTTTGTACTCCTGGAGATATTGAACGTGCAGCACAAGCGCCAAAGGCATGGCTCACCAATGTGGGGAATTCCCCCACTGTAGGTGTAAAACCCCGTCCTTTCCACATCATCTCACATCAGTTCCACATATTCCGCACATTCTGCATTTCCTGTGCATCGTCCGATGGGTTCCGCATTCCCGCGCATCCTTCGGAACCCGCCCGCACTATCCAATATTCCTGCGCATCGTCAGACAACCTTCGCATGTCCTGTCCCCATCCTTCCAGGTCCATTGGTACGCTGTATCCCTCTTCCCGCTGTTCCTAACGTTATCCGGATCAAACTGACACATGCCCTTATGGCATGGACCCCTATTCCGGAGTATTGCGCCCATGTGCACTGCCTGCCTTTACTTCCGCTTCCTGAGAGACTTACTACCTGTACCTCAGTGTTCCTTAAAAATAATCTTCCCTTTAAGTAGTGGTACTCAGGGCTTGGGGGTATTTTATCGAATCCCATCTTTTACCTTCCCACTTTTCCTTCACCTTACTAGAGGATCGCTTTGACTTATGCCCACTATCAATCTAACCTTGTGATATACTTCCTTCGACTTCGCCTGCGAGTTCCAACGAATCAGTACGTTCCGCGCTTTATCTGTTTGAGTTCTGTTTCATTCCTTTCCATTCCACTTGAGTTCCGCTCGGGTTCCGCTTGTTCTGTGCGAGTTCCGCTTGTTCTGCTTGTTCCGCATTTTTGCGGATCCTCATCCTACCTGCGGGAGGGTTGATTAGGGTTGTTTAGACAGAGACTAGTACTCCCCAGTAGCAATCCCCTTTAGGGTCGAACGTGCTTGCTCTCAAGTGAGGCAGTAGGCAGCAAAGACCCAACTGTGTAGTAGATTGACTTCTCTCCGCTGCACTTGTTGTACCCACACCGGAACCCTTCGGGTCGCTAGACAGAGTCTAGTCTTTGTTTCCTCGCACTTATTTGTGGACTCGCTACCCAGTAGCAATCCCCTCGGGACGAGTATAAGCCTCGCACCCTTGTTAGACTTCTGATTCACACAGAGTCTATTTTCCTCACCCACAGCGCACTGGCATGATTATCAATGGTGCCCACGGTCTGGGTTGGGACAGAGATGTGACCATGTTTGAAAGCTTCAAAATCCCAATCTGGGTGTATTGGCCTATCTAATATGGTACATGATAAGACCTGGAAAAAAATACCTGCCTTCAACAACAGATATTGCTGCAGCAACTCAGACTCAGTGGGGCGTCCAGTCAGGATGGGGCACTCAGGACGATAATACTTGGGGAGTTAGGCATGATGATAATCCGTCTAATGATGATCTGTGGGGAACTCAATCGAATGATCTGTGGGGCACTCAGTCGAACAATCCGTGGGGCACTCAGTCAGATGATCCGGCACCATCGTCCATTGTTCAATCGCAGCCCGACCTCTCCCATTTTCCGCTCCCCCCAAAAAATAGCAGTCAGAAGTGTGGTGAAGATTTCAAGGTGTTCTTTGCCCGCTGGGCCATGCGGAACAAGGAGAAGGAGATGAAGGAATCACCCTCTCAACGGCAGGCATGTCTAGGTCATGAGTGTTCGGCAATAAATCATCACATGCCTGGGAGGTCTAGCACAATTCAGGTGTTCAAATGGCGACCCCATGATGATGACGAGGATGAGGATGGATTCCTGTTGCGCCACCCCATCACAAAGGCTTGCGTAGAGGAAATCTGGGGAAACTACAACAAGGAAACTAGAATCTTTGATCCCTTTTCTAACCAGTGGGACTTATGTCGCGCCCTCAACCCAACTAGCATCCCTGACGGTGATGATCGGGAAGATAACAATGACATCATGCCTCCACTTCCTATAGTCGCTCCCCCTGTACTTCCACCTCCTACTCCTTCCAGTTTCTTGCAGGACATATACAAATACTTCGGCAATGAGGTTTCGCTTGCATCGAGACACGCGAGTATTGAAGGACTCATCCCTATCTTACATTACCATTTTGGATATTGAACCATGGCAGCTGTCTTGCCTCCTCTGAATGTATCAACACGGATCCAAGAATGGACTAGGAAGATGCAATGGGAACATACTCAGAAGCTAGTCAGCGATTTGACAGCTGAAACAGGTTTGATCGCAGAGCCGCAATGCCAAAGCATTACGAACTTCATCGCGCTTTTGGTAAACTTCAAGCAGTCTGACTCAGGCAGCCTAATACTGCCTGATGTTTGGGATTTAGGACCCAATCCGTCTCTACAAATCTCGCATGTGCATATCTGAGTTTCTTATGCCCAGCTATCACAACATCAGTTCTTTATAATTGAGCCCTGCCAATCCCCAAATCATGTTGTCTGGACATTGGCTGTTCCCGACCCCATTACCGTGGTGATGTGCCTGCGACGTAACTGGGGTTCAAACATGCAGGAGATCGTGCTTGCTCTCCTTCAAGGAGGTATAGCATTTAGGACCCTGCAGCATATGACCGTTGTGCCCAACTTGCGGCGCCCCCCTACTGAGCTTTGTACCTACACCTTGGGACACCGACAATTCCCCTTCCGCGCGATATACACGGATTACGTTGTATACGAGCAGCTACATCACGACTTTATGAACCGTCCCTGAGCAAGGGCTGCTTTTCTGCACAGGGGACTCATATGGCGGTTGGCTTTGCACAGCCTCGGTTTCAACCATCTCCCATCTGTCCTTGATGGTATCTCACCCGAAGCTGTTCCATTTGGTCTCCTATTGTGCAGCAATGATCAGACTTACTATGACGATGGGTTGTTGGAAGAAGAAATCGATTTTATGTGCGGGACATACTACATGCACCAGGGTAAGCCTTCCTTTACACAGATTGATCAATTGTAGCAATATTAATACTCGCGCTTTCTAGCTCAGGGCACGGATGTAGTAGTATCATCCTGGTGGCCTCGGCCGCATGCTTGGAATGCATCGGGCTTGAACATCGGTTTTTGGTCTGCTCGTTGTGAAGATTGGTTCCAAACCCGTCTTGGCAATATCAGAGAAGGAGTTTCTCACGAGCAACTTTCGTGCACCGATGACGCCAATGGTCCAATGACCTCCACGCAGTGGAAGCGCTCCCTCAAATTTAACCCTGGCACAACCAAGATGATGCAAAATGTTTTGGCGGCGTGTTATGATTTCATGACTAGAGCACCTGGTAAGAGTTATTAACCAAACTGCCTCATTGATACTGACAAGATTATCTAGTTTGGACCGAGTCATAGTTGTGCTGTTGTATCGCATATGTATTATAGTATGATTATGAGAACGTGCTACACTCCTATTGCATTGATTCTGTCCTTGCATATGTTAGTTGTCAGGACACGACCAGGCTACGATTGAGTAATAGATTGATCTCAGGGGTCAACTTATCATAGATGATCACCATTTTGTGCTGCATGCTGCAGGTGATGAGCGGGTGACAATTAAGCAATGAGTGGGCAACGATTGGGCAATTCATTCTGTTGAATGACAAAACTTCAAGTTTTGTCATCACATCTTGTCGCTGGCGTAAACTTCAAAATTTTGATGACATCTAATTGTTGGACAAAACTTAAAACAGTGGCAAGGAGATGAAACTTCAAGTTTCATCTGAAGTTTTACGTGATAATTAAATTTAAAATTCAAGCAGACGCTGAAAATCTGATTATACTTCTTATTTGTGTTGACATATAATCAGTGGAAAAATAGCTGTGGATATTTCATATTTTGGATTTCGCATACAACACTGACTAAATTTGAAGTTATATGCCCATTTTTATGTCAGTTCAAACTCCAAATATTTTCTTCACATTTAGTACAACATGTAAACCTCTGCTAAATATTGATTACCCCGATGTGTCTTTGGTACCAACTATATCATTCAGTTGAGTACTACCATTGACCATCGTTTATTCGCAAGATGAACCTGAAATCTATCGCCGTCCTCCTTACTGCTGTTGCCGCCCATGCAGTCACAGGTCCCATTGAGTATGCCAGCTGTCAAACAGGTGAGGTCAACAAGCATGCCATTGTGCACGGCTGACTCAAATTCTTGACTAGGATGCAATGGCCACGCTGTTTCTTGTTATGGGGCTGCCGGATTTACATTCAGAGTGGCCCTTCCTTCAGTACCTCCTGTTCTCGCTACATGTAATACAGGCCTGGGGACATGTATGGCGGCTTGTGCAGACCTACTCTCTGAGCGAGTCCAATTATGAATATGGCAAGAAGAATGCATGTCCCTCTTGGTGATGGGATCAATGCCCGTCCCTTCCATTTTTGCCTCGTATTGGCCTTTTCTCAGCCATGTTCTGCAATTTCACAGTGTCATACATAATGGTTTTTCATGAACTGTATATACTAGCCCATTGATATCCCGCTTTTGTTTTCCGCAAGTGCTATTCCTGTTCTCTGAAGTTGAAAAAATTCATAGTACCATGTCAGATATGTGGAATCTGCAGCAGCAGCAGCGACCCCCACGAACTGGCACCATGTTCCAATAGTAAATGCTGACGGTGGCCAATCTACTTAGTACACCTATTTCTGCTTCACAAAAGCAGTCATGCACTACCTTTATGTTCGCAATGTGACCAACCAATCTATGCGAGTGTGTGGCTCCCCCTCTGCAACAGAGCTCTCCAATTGTCTGTGGTCGGACCAGAGGGTGCGCTTACCCGTGTCGATACTGCAGACTCTGGAGGAAGCAGCCTGCCGTACTCAGTGGCGGTCTCACCACGGATCAGGTAGCCATACTAGTCAATATATATCTGGTCTTTGCTGTGGTCACCACTCTCTATGCCTGTCATGCTTAAGTGAATGCTAGATTTCTTAATAAGCTAGTACAGGTCCGGAATGATCCACTACATTTATGGCATGATCCTGGACAAGGTACGTCTGGTAAGTTTTTTTTTTGAATCAAATTATTGTCCTGTTGGGGTATGATACCTTTATGTGGGACGTCACTATCAGAAAGGGGGCCACCCCCCACCACATCTCCGACACTGCAAATGTCACTGTGGTTTGACCTCCACCGGTCCGCCATTGTCTGGCAAGCTTGCCCACCATCAGTCCAATCCTCGCCACAAAGATTGCCTACCAATGGCACATTGCCATCATTCGCCTCGCAGTGCAAGTGTGAGGCACTTGCAAGCGATCTTTGTTGTCACTGGGTATCAGGTTCATGCAGTGTTCCTTTGATCTACCTATTCATTTTCAACCTTGCGCATAGTTTATCTGTCGTACCTGTTGACCAAAGAGCTGATGAGGTTCTTACATGCTTATGTAGCACAAATGTAGTACCTGAGTTATATCAGTAACATAGTCATCCAATACAAATTGTTTATCAATATATTCGTTATACTTTGCATCCCCTGGCACTGGCTGCTACTGTAAGGGGGCATCCTGCCGAATAACACCTTGATTTGCCTTGTTGCACTATCGGACATAAAACCATATAAGTGAATACAAGTTAAACCTGTAATATTGGCACTACATAGGGTATACGGCAACATTGCAACATTCATAGCCCAATAATGCACGTTTCATTGTCCCTGTCGTGCGGGGGTATAAACAGTATGGGTCTACTTTATTATTAATTAGCACCTGAATGAGTGATGCTGAATAGGAGGGCAAACATTGAGCCCCTTCAGTGAATTTACCCGTCTCAGACGGGCAGCCAGGCGTGACAATGTACCAATAGAGACAGGTCACCTGGTGCCAGCCCATGGCAATAATTGTACCGTGTTAGACGAGTGGGCCAAGGGGGTGGAGTGTCCGAGGTAAACAGATGGGCCGGGTGTATATAGTATAGATGGTAGTATAGCAATGTACTATATAGGAAATTATGAATAGTAGTAGTGAATCCAGTGTGTGATAGATGAGTGGGCCGGAGGAATGGAGTGCAATATAGACGAGTGGGCTGGGGAACTGGGGTGTGATGGAGACGAGTGGGCCGGTAAATGAGGTGCAATGGAGACAAGTGGGCTGGTACATAAGGTGCAATGAAGACGAGGGGGCCGGAGAATAGGGTGCAATTGAGACGAGTGGGCCGGTATAGCAGGTGCAATGGAGATGGGTGGGCTGGTAAATAAGGTGCAATTAAGACGAGTGGGCCGGTATAGCAGGTGCAATGGAGATGGGTGGGCCGGTATAGCAGGTGCAATGGAGACGGGTGGGCCGGTAAAGGAGGTGCAATGAGGACGAGTTGGCCGACGTTATTGGGTGCAATGAAGACGAGTCAGCTGGTGATATGGGGTGCAATGAAGACGAGCTGGCCGGTGATATGGGGTGCAATGAAGATGAGTGGGCCAGTGATATGGGGTGCAATGAAGACGGGTGGGCCGGCATTATAGGGCACAATGGAGATGGGTGGGCTGGTGATATGGGGTGTAATGAAGATGAGTGGGCCGGTGATATGGGGTGCAATGAAGATAGGTGGGCCGGCATGATAGGGTGCAATGGAGACAGGTGGGCTGGTATTATGGGGTGCAACAACAACCAGTATTTATGTAACCGGTTGCTTGTGGTAACATAGCACTCAATCCGGCGATTCCACTGGTGGTCTGATCATGTAAAATGGTTAAGATTTGACAAAGTTATGAGCCCTACAAGAGAAAGCCATAAATTTAGAGAATATTATGATGTATTGTATCTAGACCATTGCAACCGGTATTTTTTGACCGGTATTTATGTGACCGGTTGCTTGTGGTAACATAGCACTCAATCTGGTGATTCCACCGGTGGTCTGACCATGTAAAATGGTTAAGATTTGACAAAGTTATGAGCCTTACAACAAGAGAAAGTGACAATTTCAGAGGATATATCATGTCTAGACCATTGTGACCAGTATTTATATGACCTGTTGTTTCTAGTAACAGTACTCAATCCGGTGATTTCACCGGTGGTCTGATCATGTAAAATGGTTAATATTTGACAAAGTTATGAGTGCTACAAGAAAAAGTCACAAATTCACTGGCAGAGGATATATGATATCTAGACCATTGTGACCGGGATTTTTCAACCGGAAGTTATGTGACCAGTTGCTTGTGGTAACATAGCACTCAATCCGGTGGTTCCACTGGTGGTCTGATCATGTAAAATGGTCAAGACTTGACAAAGTTATGAGTGCTACAAGAAAAAGTCACAAAGTCAGAGGATATATGATATCTAGACCATTGTGACCGGGATTTTTCAACCGGTAGTTATGTGACCAGTTGCTTGTGGTAGCATAGCACTCAATCCGGTGATTCCACCGGTGGTCTGACCATGTAAAATGGTTAATATTTGACAATGTTATGAGCCTTACAACAAGAGAAAGTCACAAATTCAGAGCATATGTGATATCTAGACCATTGTGACCGGTAGTTATGTAACCAGTTGCTTGTGGTAACATAGCACTCAATCCAGCGATTCCACCAGTGGTCTGACCATGTAAAATGGTTAAGATCTGACAAAGTTATGGGCATTACAAAAGAAAGTCACAGATTCAGAGGATAAATCATGTCTAGACCATGGTAACCAGGATTTATGTGACCGGTTGCTTGTGGTAATGTAGTACTCAATCTGGTGATTCCACCAGTGGTCTGACCATGTAAAATGGTTAAGATTTTACAATTTTATAAGCCTTACAACAAGAGAAAGTCACAAATTCAGAGCATATGTGATATCTAGACCATTGTGACTGGTATTTTTCAACTGGTATTGATGTGACCAGTTGCTTGTGGTAATGTAGTACTAAATCCAGCAATTCCACTGGTGGTCTGATCATGTAAAATGGTTAAGATCTGACAAAGTCATGAGCCCTACAAGAGAAAGTCATAAATTCAGAGGTAATATTATATCTAGACCAGTGTGTCTCCAGCTCTACCTTAGGGTAGTTTACCTCTGTTCCATTTCTACTCCAAACTTGTCCACAGCAGTCTTACTCTGGGCTTCCTTGAACCTCTGGAGTTCTGCTGAACTCCCCTAGTGTCTGACCTCCAGAAACCTCTGGACTTTGTTGGACTTCCCTCCTGCCTCTCAGAAATTAAGGGCACATACTCGGGTAAGGGGTGCAGCACACAAGCTGAAGTCAAGCCCTTTG